AATCATGTCCATGTGTTTATAGGACATTGGTTTTTCTAATCTCATTATTATTTCAATCTCAAGTCATTGAATTCGATAGCAAATATGATGGTGCATTAAGAGTTAAGCTAAAATTAACTTTTAAATACAGGCAGCCAATTAGAAGAAGTCCTGTACTGGAATCCAGAATGTCTAGAGGAATGCAGGATAACCCATACAGGCAAAAGGTAGTCTACACAAATCTATAACATGTCACTAACTGACTAGATGCACAGAGATCATATTGAGTGGAATCCAGTGTTCTACCTCTTATGTTTGTAATCTGTCTGTAAGTCTGTGTTAATAACAGAAATGCTGTGTTTTCCCTCCGGTAGACAATTAGCCTTACTGTCCCTCAGCTGACTTGCTTAAAAAAAGAAACTGATGGCTCTAATGGTGCATGTTGTACTGGATGAGCCTGTTATCATTTTCCCTGGGTGCAAGTGTTACAATGGTGAGTCAGGTCAAATAGAAGCTTTTTATCATTACTGGATATAATGGAGAAAAAAATATACTTGGCATTTCAAAAGTAAAAAAGAAAAAAGTTGAACATACACACACACATATTGTCAAGCACAGCCAATTTTGTAGCTCTGGCTGGAGAAGTTAAAATCCAAAATCTGATCCTTGCTTGTGCTTGTAGCTCCTGACAAATTCATTCTGGCACAAACTTTGGTTGTTACAGGGATATTAAATCCCACATGTAATGTATAACTGTGAATATTAAAACTTTCCCATGTAAAAGTATATACTTATAAGCCAAACTGAAATCTGTCACTGAAAAAACTTTGAAGTTTGCATTTATTTTAATCTTAAAATAACAGTCTTAATTTTTTCACATGAATGCTTACAAGTACTATATAAAAATGTGTTAATATAAATACATAAGTTCTGTGCTTGGGAACCTTTGCAACAGTAATTCCAACTGAATTTAAACTTCAAACACTTATATTTTTTTACTGTCAAATGAACCCTTAATAAAAGAACATTTCACATTGTTAAATTTTATTGTTATTTCTTAATTGTCTTGTGTTTGTGGTCTAAGTAAATCTCTTTTGCTATGTTAGATGCTTTTCTTTGGCATTCTAACAAAGTATTTCAGAGACACTCAATTCTGAAAATACAATCATTGGCTTATTGTAATACAGTGTATTTGGGGCAGGAACCTAATGCATTTTGCAGCAAATATTGTACATTTGGTGAAAATTCTATTGTATATAAAAATACACCAAAAATATAATAGTGTTGTGATATACTAACCCCAATCAGGCTGATTGACAGAATTGTAAGAGGGGGATAAGTTCAGACAGGTTCTTATCTGAACTACATTCCCAAGAAAGCTGTGCAGAATAACATGCCAAACTCAGTCGCCTGACAAACTGTACGTGTAAAATAATCGGTCGGGTGACAGCTTAAAATCCCATCTGGATTTGGTCTTTATTTGCTGTCTGGAGACAGAGGGCAGATCCTCTGTCATGCAATCTGCACCAGAGCGAGAGAGAGGAGGAAGCATCCTGCCAACTGAGTGTCAGGTGGAAAATTGTGACTCTTAAACATTTCGGAGACAGAGACTTTGTTTTGGAGTCAGTCAGTAGTTTAGCTGCCAGACTAAGCTGGTTTCAGAAGAACTCTACTTAGATGCTCAAAGAGTAGCTTAGGCTTTTTTATTTTCAAAGAGTAGGCTTAGGGTGATTTTTTAGTATTTGAGTATTTTCCTTTTCACTATAAATAAAAGGTCATTTTCACTTTACCTTCCATCTGCCTTGTCGAACTGGTTTACTTTCCTGTATATGACAACCTACTGCAGTGTCATGTACTGTATGGTGTGAGATGCATGATGACAGGTTATGGTCCGGAGAAAAACATACTCCTTTGAATATTTGAACACTGTGTGACAGACTTTTAAGGTATAGTTAAAAACAGTGCTATATTTAGTGTAGATATTTAGTAGAGAAATCCACTCTGTCATCACACAGAAGTCAGGAAACAATTTCCTTCAGTCTGGGCATAGTTTTGGACTTTTTATAATCAGTTAAGAGGCTGCAAAGGGAAGCTGTACAATGATGATATCCCTAGCTAAATGAAGACCCTCACTTCTAGGGCAAACAGTGTGTGTTTGAGCATGCCTCATTATGTGCATCCTATATGGAGTATGGCCACAGCACACAAGCCTGTCCTCATGAGAAAGAGGACTGGAAAATGAAGACACAAATGAAAGCAGGAAAGGTGCCACACATAAAATGGGATCTGATGATGGTGACACCTGAAATTCTTGAATCGAAAGAAGTGTTTTTACCTAGAAAGTCTGAATTGGAGACAGGAGTGAATATCTATGGAGATACTGGGAGCTACTGAAAAGGGAAAAAAATTGGAATGAGCTGCTGTGCTCCCAACTGGTATTGAGAAAGAGAAAGTAAAGAACCACGGGCCATTGGCTGGGCCCTCAGAAATGCCTGGAGTATGAAAGGTGCAGAGCTGAACAAACTGTACCAGAAGATCTGAGCGAGAAGATTAAGGTCCAACTGGCTAACAAACAGCAGGAGAAAATGAATACTTTCTTCAGATGTAAGTAAGTGAAACGCTGAGGAAGTCCTAGTAGTCAGAAAGAACTGGAAAAGGTCAACTGATTTACTTCACTGATGTCTAGTAGAGTGCAGAAGCAGATGTGAAGAACAGAAGGTTGCAGGAGTAAATGTCTTCAGTCCCAGTTCAACTAGCCTATTGCTGAAAACAAAAGGCTGAATTTTCTCTACAGAATTCATTTTAAATGCCAGCCAGAGGGAAGAAAAAGAAAAGGGAAACCATATTTAAACACTGGAGAATTCTCCAACTTAAAGAAGAAATTGAATGACAAGAGATCAGAAACCACAATCTTAGAGTTAAAAACTGGGAAGTAATAGAAGACCTGGCATCTGCTAAAGAAAAGTATAAACAGCAATTTAATCTCAAAGGAGAAAAATTGCTGATCCAGTAGCAGATGGAGAAGAGGAAAATGGTTCCGATACTTTTCACAATGGTATGCATAGATGCAGAACAGAATAATAGTTTGCAGGATTCCAAACATAAAGCAGAAGATATTCTCATCCAGACTGCCACAGAAACCCTAAAACTGATACTGAAAAGACAAGGACAGATTATGAAGTGTTCTGACTGAAAAAAGACTATACAGAACCTTCAGAGAGGTGTGGAACAGGAAGCTGGTGAATTATTGAGTGCCAAAATAGCTGATTCTTTGAGGTAGTTTGAAATGGGCAAGCTAGAAGCTCTAAAGAAGAGTGAGGAGGTGGTTTTGGTGCAGCACGAGTAAAGTGAGGAAGCAGATACAGGATAGAGACAGCTGAGACTCGACAGATGCAATTGACTAAGTTAAAGTCTCAACTGAATTAAACTATAGCAGACCTGAAAGTCACTGGGAGCAGCTTATCAAGGAGAAAGAAAGGATCAGGTTGGTATAGGGAATTAAGAAAAATGAGAAGAAAGACAAAATCCTAATGAAAAAACACTAGTCCAAGAAGGACATCATCACTCAGTGGACAAAAGAGACACTGTTTAAGAATCTAGAGACATTGGATATAAAGGAGGAGGCAAATAACGATGGCCCTTGGCTTGAGCCAATAGAAAGGCAGGAAGATGACTTCCTTAGACAAAGTCCTTAGATCAGAGAAGGGACCACCAGGGAACTTGATAATGGAGACTCTGGCAGTGAACCTGTAATGACCACCTGGAGGGAACCAGCTTCTGGTCCTTAGACTCCTGATATCTGATAGCTGAGCTCCAGCCTATGTATACTCCTACTTTGTATCTGTGTGAGGTAGCCGGGAGAGTTAGAAACACCAAGGACCTGGATTCTGGAGGACAGCTCATCGCTTAGCGAACTGTCCTGAAAGGACAAAGAGAAGAATCTGACCGACTGACTGTTTAGGTCTTGCTGTTTGAAAAGAGAACAGTAAAAGGGTGAGGTGGTGCCTCCTTTTCTCTTCATCCTAGTTGAGTTGTTGTTTTTGCCACCAGCCTGTAACAGAAATACTGTATCTGGAGTACTAGGACACTGTACTACCCCCCTGGCTTGAAGAAGATGACCTTTGGTCTGAGGAGAATTATGAGGAAGACTGGCTCCTGCTGCCACAGCAGGTAGAGAGAGGCAGAGTTGCCTGAGGTCCATAGCTGTGGAAGAAGAGGGAGAGAGTCCACCTGACAGTCATCTGATAGAAATGGAAGACGATGGGGAGAGGCTGCCTGACTGACCCCTGACAGAGATGAAAGAGGATGAGGACAATTGAGCAGCTACTACACAGAAAAGGGGGGAGGGTGGGGTGTCTTGAAGCAGAATTCTGAGTGTCCAGAGGGGGGACCACCTGGAAAACCAAAGAAAGAGAGAAGGATTACATAACCTGGGCTTATAATGGGTTTATGACCCATCTGGAAGAAGGGTGGCACCCACCCTCCCCTGCTTCTAACAAGCCCCAGGGGAAGATATGGCTTTGGTAGCTCTGATCTTGAAATGGCTGATGGCGGGAAGAGCATGTGAAAGAGTGGTAGGTTCAGACAAGACAAAGATTCTTATCTGAACTACTTTTTCTCAGAAATTTATGGGAAATTAATTCCTATTATTAGTCACAAGTAAGACAAAAGGAGGCATCAGACAACCTGAGCAACAGTTGGAACTTTGTGAAAGTTAGTGTAAATGTTTCACAAAAAAGCTTAGCTGAATTTATAGAGAGGGCTTAAGAAAAAGTATACTTAGAAGCTCAAAGAAGAGCTTTTGTTGGGTTTTAGTACTGTGTTTTCATTTGCACTTAACCTTACAGCTTCTTGTGTGTCTGTTACCTTGACCTGCCTGCCAGCAGTCCTGTCTATGACACCCGCTCCAAGGTGTCTCAGGGATTTCATGTAACCATGGCAACACAAACATGGAAAGCCCATACACAAGAGCCTTTTAAGGGTTGTCACCCTCATTCAAATAAAACAAAACAATGTCAGTCTTACATTTCAAATGCATTTATTCTTACAAAATGATGAAAAAAATATAAAAAGCTACGTTTTCCAACCTTATGATTCAGAGCTCAGAAAAAGGTTGAAAAGTCCTGTTTTGTTAGCCGAGGAAGAATGAAATCATCTAAATTACATCAGAAAGAAAAACAGGCATTGGGAGAAAAAAATCATAATACAATTTATACACTAACCAAAGTACATATCTCATATACAGACTTGCCAGTCCTTTATACATATGTGTCTGGAATTTGTGAACTGCACAGACATCAATAGGTCCTTTGCTTTCATTGCAGTGTCTATCAGCTCATGCATTTTAGTGCAAATTACAACACCATGGATCTTGATAAAATACTTGACTTGAACACCAGAGTATTGTCACCAATTTGAAACATCCACAGGTTTTGTGATAGATGGATGGACAGAGAAAATATAAGTCCAACAACAATTATGCTGTTATATGTAGTTGAATACAGTAAGAATAAATAACATATTTTATAACATAAACACTATTAGAAGTCAGGTGTGATTTGTTGAAGCTAGAGGACTTTAAATTTTAAAAGCGATTTTGTTGATTTTAAAAAAGAGCGAGAGCAACAACAAAGAAAAAAAGTGTCAGGGTAAATGTTTTCTGTTTAGTGGTTTCCATAGCACCATTTAACAATTTTCTTTCATTCCTGAGCAACGTAATTCTCATTGTTTCCCTGACCTCATACTGAAAATAAAAAATAACCCCCAGCCCAATATTTTATGGGGTACAAAGATTCGGAAAAGGCGAGAATCTTTGAAGAGAAAATGTATATAATTAAAGTAACAGTAGCAAACATTTCGTTTTCAGGAATGTTTTATTATGCAGCCATACTGTGTAAACTGTTTTTTGAGACATAATCAATGATATATATATAAAACAAAACTAATATTAACATGGACCTTTTTATACAACACAATGTTGTGTTCATTTTCATTAATAACTTAGTACTTTGCAATCTTTTATAAAGTAAAAGATGTAATATTTTGTCTTTGCTATATTTTGTCTTTGCTAAGTGTTTATGCAAAATGTTGTTACTTGTATTTTTACGCAATTGCTCATTTTTGTATTACATTTAGCCATTGGGATAAGGTTTTTAGGAGTGAAGAAAAATCAATTCCAACACACAAGCTTTATTCTCACAAACACTGCTTCAAAAGTGCATGAATTATTAATACGGGACTATTATTACGTTTTATTGTCTTCATTTTAAAGCAGCATGTGTGTAACTTTGCCATTTCGTAAAGTTTATTTCTCTTTTGTGAAGAAAGGCCACAGTAAGTTTGGGCCATGTACTTTTAGATTAAAGTTTCTTTATTGGGTCATTGTTACCATTTTCCTGGAATAGGTACACCACACTCATACCAGCCCACAAAGGGATGAGATGTGCGACGGCCGATGAGTCCAAACTGCACTGGCTCCTGGCGATAAGCACGGAAGAAACCTGAAACAAACAGTCCTGGGCTGAAAGTTTTGGCAACTATAATCAATTAAAGAATCAGATGATACAAGTGATACAAGTGACGTGATCTGCTGAAAAGTGAAACTGATGAATCTCTAAACACAATAATAATTACACCTTGTACTAAACAAGGAAAGCAGAATTGCCACTTGCCTGACCAATGACTTAATGAGTCACTGAGACAAAACAGCATTTTAAAATGTTATAAATTTAAACATTCAGTTTGGTTCAGCACAAAAGGGTGGGATCAGAGAATCTGTGATCAGTACAAATCAGGATTATACTTAAATCGAAATGGCTTTTAAAAAAGAACGACTGCAAATGGTCATGTAAAATGGAAAATACATATTACTCCAGAAACGTTTTTATTTTCTCACATTTAAGTACTATTATATTGTCAAGCCCCATGTGGTGATTAAACAGCAATATCAATTTAGTAACAGTTAAGTGCAATTTACACATTAATTTCAGGGCAATTTTTGTAATGCTGTTCTGTCTCAAAGTGTCTGGGGATTATGGACCAGGTGGCAGCCCTAAGGCTAGGCCTCATTGAATTAGCAATGGAACTGGTGAGTTAGTTTAGAGGAGATTTTCCAGAGAAACAATGAAATTGCAGTCATGCTGTTTTACTAAAAGAGCACTAGAGTATATTTTTTAGTTTTGTAGCAATGACGCTAATAGTCAAATAACGGAACAAATATCTTATTATGGTAAAATTACAGGAGGGTTTCTTAATAAGAAGGGTATCTTTAAAGTTGAACTTTAAAAACTGATTTTTGTGTTGCACAACAGAATTGTAGGATTTATCATCAGCAGGAAGAAGAGACTGTTGTTACCTTGCACAGTTGGCAGATAGGTTGATAGGTAGTGAGGCCCTGTCCTTCCCTCCATATGGGAGTCTACAAATTGACAGTGATCTTCACCATGGCCGTATGTATCTCCAATACTGTAGAAAGTTTCTAGAAAACATCAAAATGAACTCGTAAGCAATTAAAAACACAAAATAATTTTGGATCAAGTAGAGGTTAATTCCAAGCTGAAAAACTAAAACAAGTAGGAATTTCAGCTGTTGAGCCTTCTTCAGATGTGTCGACTCCATTGGAATTTATTAAATAATTTATCATTAAGCATTCTAGAGCTGAAGCCCCTGGCCACAAATTTTGGCAAACTATAAAAATGTGTTACCAACAGTTTGTAATTAAATTGCTTCTGACAGTAAGAGACATATACAGTAGGGTCATGAGATTTGTTAATTTAACATTCGCGAATGTAATTATTCTAGCCAATGGGGTCTTGTATGGAACAAGAGCAGATTAGGAAGAAATCAAGATGCTTGTTTCTGTGTTGGCAGCATGGGGAATGACCGGAGATGACTTTACCGGCCCACAGTTTTATTGCCCTGTTCATTACAGTGGGCTGTGTTAATCATGAAGGCAGAGAGAGAAAATGCAGGCTAGACACAGAGAAGAAATTCATGTTATTTAACATATTACTATGAGTTTGTGATTATTGTTGATGTTATTTAACTTAAAGCCAACGTATTAATATTTTAAATATCACACAAGGGAAGGTTACTTACATCTTTTAAACATACCTATACACTTATGTTTTTAACATACAAAAGGTATAGAGGAAGACTTCAGCGATTTGCAACAGTTCTCTGTACCTAACCCTCATGAATGTCAAGATGTTACTTACTTTCTGCATATTTCTCTACAACCAAATTAGCCTAACAATCTAACACACTCTAAAAAGGTTCTAAAGGTGGCAGTCTACATCTACACGTAGGTACAGTAGCTGCATCAGCATGCATGGGCTGCAAAGGAAAAGGTTTATTCCATGCTGAAAGGAAAGAAAAGACTGTGAAAGACTGTTACTGTTTCAGCTTAGAAGAAGGTGTCAGGCTCCACAGCTGAAACGTTGTGTCTCTTATCTTTTCCTTTCAGCAAGGACTAAACCTTTACCTGTTTCTTTGCAGTCCACATCTACTGTATGTCAAGCCATGATGACACATTTACCACCAATTTGATCGAGTTGAGCACAACTGAAAAATGTTATACTAAAAACATGCTTTACATTTCCTTTATATAATAATACTAGTGAGACTAAAAACAACAGGAGAAATACATTAGAACCCAATAATCATCAGCCATTGGTTAAGAAAATATTGATTTCACCACACCTTTCAGTCCTTCTCCCATAAAGATTTTGTACCGGAGTGAGTTGCAAAGCACAACGCCAACAAACTTTCTGTACCAGGTACGCTTCACATATTGACTACCCTTGCAGGTGCTCTGTGCTGGGTTGTACTTGAAGGAGAAAGGAATCCAAATAGGCTCTCCACCTGAAATACAATTAATATTCCTCCTTAGAACATAAACATCCAGAAAACTAGGTATGCGCCACACTAATGTGGTAGGGTTATCCTGAGAATAAAGGCAGATTGCTTATGATTGGAGTGTCATGGAAAAAAAAAACTAGATGGAGAAACAGCTATAGACTACATTCAGAAATTGTCTTTGTATTGTTGCAACAATAGGAACAAAAATAGATTTTATTGTACGTTTATCTTAAACTTTAATTGCTTTTGACCAGGCTAGAAACACACAATCTGGAATTTCTTTATGCTGGATGATGTATTTACAGTACATATTCATTTTCTGAATGAATGTTTGGCAAAGTGAAACAGGTGATAATAAATCCAAATCATACTTTGCTAATGATTTTTGCTGTTAAGTAAAAGAGCCCCTGATATTAGAATACCTTCAGTGACAAAATACATCTCCCTTAAAATACACCCAGCTCTGTCAAGAAGTGGATTTGAACAGGTTGCCACATCATATGTGATTCCAGGTACATTACTTTAAGCATTATTTTCACTGTACAATTTGATTTTCATTTTACACAGACACAGTATTACAGACACAGACACTGTACAACACATGGTAGGTATATTGCTATATTTATCAATAAATAGAATTTAAAATAACAGTAATATTTGTGTGACTTACCAGGAGGTCTCTCTATGAGCAATGGATCATCTGCAAAGCAACACAAAAACGTGAAATTGTTTCAGTAATACAAGAATCTTACTTTTAATTTCATCAAGCACACCAATATTTTAGGTCCTAATGATTAATAACTGTTCCAGAAAAAACATTACCCAAGAACAAAGGGATTCATTTGTAAATTTCTTTCTGTGGCATTTCTTTACTGAACAGCAAAATATGGTGTATGTTTCAAACCCATGTGGTAGATTTGGGCTGTCATTTGCTTATTTCCTTCAAGATCATGATGTTGATCATTTGTGTGCTGATAATAATTTGTTTGCTGATAATGTTAATAAAATGTGTGCTGTCACATTTCAGTTACATAACCACCTCATGGCAAATAACCTTTTCGAACCCCTCCAATCTGGCTTCCATCAACTTCACAGCACAGAAACTGCCCTGGTCAAAGTCACTAATGATCTTCTAATAGCTTCTGATTCTGGTTCTCTTTCTGTAATCATCCTTCTTTATGTCAGTGCTGTTTTTGACTCTGTTGACCATTAAATCTTACTTTCTCATCTTGAGACTGTGTTTGGAGTTTCTGACACTGCTCTCAAATGGTTCAAGTCTTACCTCACTGATCGCTGTCACTTTGTCTCTCTTAATGGATATAGGTCTGAAATTGGTCTTGTTAAGTCTGGTGTTCCTCAGGGCTCAATACTGGGCCCCTTGCTTTTCAGCATTTACATGTTTTCACTTGGTCAGCTTTTAAGATCCCAGGGCCTCAGCTATAATTTCTATGCTGATGATACTCAAATATACATCCATACCAAACCCGACACTGATTTACCTGTCTCTATTCTATCTAATTGCATCTCCGACATAAAAACTTGGATGACTCACCTCAGTACCTGTCTGTACTATTATCACCCTACTCCCCACCTCGCAACCTTCACTCTTCTAATTCTAGTCTCCTAACTGTCCCCCAAGCCCGTCTACATTGTATGGGTGACAGGGCCTTCTCTTCTTATGCCCCCAAGCTCTGGAACTCTCTGCCCAGCGATATCAGAGATTCACCTTCTCTAAACTCCTTCAAATCCACACTCAAAACCTTCTTCTTTAGAAGAGCCGTTACTTAACTGTTTCCATTCTTTACCCCTCTGCTTCTACTTTTCTTAGTACCACCATCCACAGTGTCCTCTGTATATTGTAATTGTGTTTTATCTTGTGTATTCTTTTTATTTATTGTTGTTGTCATTCTGTAAAGTGCTTTGAGAAGGTACATTACTTTAAGTATTATTTGCACTGTACAACTTGTAAAGTCGCTATATAACATACAGTTTTGTATTATTATTATTATTATTATTATTATTATTATTATTATTATTATTATTATTAATTTGTGCTGTACGGTACATGTATATGTTGCCTAGTTCACCTTAACTATGCACAGTTTTCAGTTCTGAGCATGCTGTATAGCAAAATGCCAGAGTACACCTGAACACAATCAAAACAGGTAAACACAGCAATCCTGTCTGTCTTTGGGAGAGGAAAAAAACACAGAGGGAGAAAATGCACAACTCAACAAAGATTGGTACCCAAAGGTGAAGTCAAACACATGATTTTGTACCTGTGATTTAACAGTGTTAACCACCATACCATCTTGCTCATTTATTATAGCTCTTTATTACTACTAATTGCTCTGCATCGTCATTATACAGTATTTTGTTATATAATTTCATTATATGTTGAATGATTTCAACTTAATGTTATTATTATGCTTAAAGCCCATGTTTACTGAATAAGTTTGAGCCAGCTAGAAACAGTACAGCTTGTTTATTCAGGCCTAATTTTCTATCTTGAATGAGTGAGTTAAACTGTAGATGTGGGGAATTTTCAGAGAAAGAAAGGAATATAAAAAATCTGTCAGTGGGGCATAGTGGATTAATTCAGACACTAACACTGAATGCTGTTAACCAAAGCAACCTCTTATTACATTGAAAGTTACCTGCATTACAATACAGTTTTAATATATTAAAAATGTATGCAGTTAGCGTTCTTAAATGTAAACAGCAAAATCACAATCCCCTACAAAATGACAATTTAAAAATGTTCAGATGCAATAAGAATATTTCTAAAAAAATGGGATAAAGCTAAATCAAGAAATCATAGATAATCTTATTTGTATTACAGTACATGTAATAATAATAATTCTTTACACTTATATAGTGCTTTTTCTGGTCACTCCATTCAAAGCACCTTATAGGTAATGGGGATTCGCCTCCACCACCAGTGTGTGTAGCCCCACTTGTATGATGCGACAGCGGCCATAGTGCACACAGTACACTCAGCACACATCAGCTAACAGTGGGTAGGAGAACAGAGTGATGAAGCCAATTCATAGATTAAATTACCCTAGGATTTATTAACTACAGATAGTCAGGACCTCAGATTAATGTCTCATCCAAAGGACGGCACCTTTTTACATTATAGTGTCCCTGTCACTATACTGGGGCATTAGAATCCACACAGACTGCAGGGTGAGCGCCCCCTGCTGGCCTCACTAACACCTCTTCCAGGAGCAACCTTAGTTTTTCCCAGGAGGTTTGTAATTTAGATACTGACCAGGCTCACACCTGCTTAGCTTCAGTGGGTTGCCAGTTGTGAATTGCAGGGTGATATGGCTGCTGGCAATGTATTTGTAATTATGGAAGTAATAAATGTAATAAAGCCTTATAATGTAAGAGTGATGTAGAAGAAATTGGACTTAGAAATTGCAGGCTAGTTGAACTATTTTTTTTTTGTTTCTCTGAGAAAGCAAAACTGGCAACAGATACCGGTATATCAGTATGATATAGCATTGGAATGATCAGGAATTAGGTCCTGGCAAGAATTTGAACTCTAGCCACTCATTGTGAAGGTGTGAGTCCAAATGGGCTGGATGCACTGGCAGAAACTCTTTCCCTTAACCATGGGCACCCTAGAGAGCATGCTTGTTACAATGTATTTAGGTTTCCACAAAACAATTAAATGGAAAAAAAACCTCTAACATGACTGAGACTACTGGAATACTACAGGAACCTGTTCTTGGCCTTCTGTTCCATAACTGTGCAGAGTCTGGTAAAGTGAGTAAATGTAAGAAACACAAAAGCTCATACAAGCACAAGGGGGAGGGACTGATATTGTAGCAGCAGAATATATGCAAAAACACTTTTGACACTCTGCAGCACTGTTCCAAATTCTGACTAAAGAATTCCAGTGCTGACAAGTGCAATAAACTACATGGCTGCTGTTCTACGAAAGCTGCCCCTTGTTACTTTTTAGTGACACGGTCAGCAAAGGAACTAAAATCTGGCAGAAAATCAATTGAAGGTGACCCCATGTCAAAACAACTCAAATGCAACCAGTCCCAAGGCAATCCCAGCTGTGGAAAACAGTAATACCTAGTCACCATGTCAACATCACAGAAGTGGAAACCAGTTTGGTGCTATGATTAGAAGCACAGAAAACATTATAACTGTATAAACTTGTATTAACTTCTTAACAGACGTTTCTGCAAGATTGGTTCTCTGAAACCATATCTCACAATATCTCCACCAGAGCATTCAGTAAAGAGTTGCTAGAGCTCTTTGCTACTGATCTAGAAGGGTTTGCATTCATTCTAATTACTGGGACCTGAGATCAGGACTGAATCACTAATCCCACCATTTTAGACATTCTCTGCACCACAGTTGTCACATTCAAAGTGTGGTTTATGGATTGAAAATATGTACTGCTTATATATTCAATATCACATAAACCTAAAACCATTTTCAGGTTGGCTCCATGAAGTTCCTGGTAGGAACCACAAGAAGCAAACACCAACATGCACAAGGATTTAGCCACAGGTAATGTACACTGCCACTTGGGAGGTGCTTAAATGAACACTGAGAGAGTGAAAAGGAAAGTCTGTTCAAAGCCTTGGCAAAGGAAGGTGCTCAGAGTTGCTGTTAAAAAGGACAAATGTACTGCAAAGCAATGCAGCTGGAAGGAAATGCTACCGAGGGAGAAGAAGTGGCTGGAGTCTAGACCAGCTGATGAAGAGGACCACAGTTTAGGAAGAAGGTCAATCCCTGGACCTGTTGATGGAGGGAAGTTGCCTCAAACCTTTGATTTCATACTGGAGTTGTGAGGAGAAGAAAAGTGTGCTGGCAGCAGACAGAGAGTGGTCACCATGGCAAAGCAGAGATCCAGAGGAGAGGAAAAGTTCTCTTTTCCACAGAAGAAGATAAAAGAGGACAGGAGATAGGAGCTGTAAGGTTTTAAAGACTCAGTTGGATCAGGTTGAGAGGAGCATGAGCCTCTGAGGCATCAATCATTTTATTTGCTATGGCAACCTTTGCAACACTTTGCCACAGAGAGTTTTATAGATTTGTTCATGGATCTATTGATCCAGAAAGATGGTAGGCAGGGCATCCCAAAAGAACCCCAGAAAACAGGAACTGAAAAATAGACATGGAAGTTCTATCAGTACAAAATCGAGAAACTCCATGCAAGGGAAAATACAGTACAAAAATCGACTGGTCCAGAGAGAATTAGAGAGAGTAAACCCCCAAACATTAAATTCTGACAAGCTCAGGGTGTCATGGAAGACAGGAAGTCCAGTTTTGGGGGTAGTGTAAAAAACTAAGCTTGTGGCACAGGAGACTTTGGGATGGTGGACCAGTAAATGCATGAAATACAGTCTCCTAAGGTGGAAGAATGCCGCTGTACTGGAAAGGTTTCAAAGAATGATGATAAATGTTATTTCTAATGGAATGTTTTGATAATATGTAAATTACTAAGTCTTTAGGGTCTTGAATCTATCAGTTCATGAAGTTTGTTCAGAGGCACAAGTGGAAATTATCTTAGAAAAATGAAGGTACTTCTTCTTTACTGTCCAGTAGAACAGATTTCGTATTTAATGTGTTGGGATACTTCAGAAAGTAGCTATAAAGGACTTTGTTACTGCCTAAACCCAAGCAAAGAACTAACAAACATTGTTTGAATATAACTCTTCTAATATAACCATGTTGAATCATGTACAATCATGTATAGAACAATATTTCTGTCAATGTGACTAGAATGTTTTTAAATCAAATGCAAACAAAGCTTACATACCTGATTCTGTTTCATATGTAAATGTTTCACTGAGAGGACCAAGACCAAATATGTTCTTTGCCTGGACTTTGAAGTAATACCTAAAACCAGATGAATAAATAACCCTTGTTAGTACATCGAATTTCCAAAGAATTTCAGAGCCATCACATAGGGCACATTCAATAATTTACACTATAAGTAAGGAACTGAAAAGAAATCAGGATTAGTTATTTTCTAAGAATATTAACATTGTAACTGTACATTATATTTAGATAAAAAGTAAATTTTGTGACATTCTGATGACATACATTTTTTTGTTATTAATCCAGTTTGAAAACAATTTGTTGTTCTATGAAATGAAACAGGTCTGTTCTATTTGCATTTATTTTCTTTTTAGAAAAACATCTTTAATTTTTTTATTATCTATATATGAAATTATGTTTTAAGAACAACATTTTTTTTTTATCCAGCAAAGGAATAACAGGAAAAAATGTTCACTTCTAGTGTTTTCTAAATTCACATTTAGGAAATGCAGTAAGTTACATACAAATATTCGTTTTCCAAAATACCCATTTGAAAAAGAAATTAACATTTTGCAATTGTATACACAACTTCATATTTGTTGATATTATCAATAATAAATTCTAGAACTGAAAATTCTAAACGACAGCTTTCAAGAGTGGGTACAACAAGATTTATAATTTATTTTTAAAGGACATTCGTTTTTAGAAAGACCTGAATTTTGAAGAAAATCAAATGTGAAAGTTTAATGAATACAAACATGTTAAGATGCTACAAACTGTGTAAAAGAGACAGACAGCAATTGTGTCCTGAATTATTATTATCTATTCATTTTCCAACTACTTCATCCAAGGGTCTCAAGGGGGCTGGATCCCATGCTGGAAAACAATGGGCACAAGGTGGTATATGTGCTGGACGGGACACCAGTCCTTCGCAGGGCACACACAGACAGAACCACAGGGACAGCACATTTCTGTGTGGGAGGACACCAGAGCACCCATAGGAAACCTAACTACTGTACTACCATATGATTATTAGTATTATTCTTGGTACTTTACCACCTGCTGTGGAGAGAAAAATCACACTACATAATACTCAGTTCAATACATTTCACGACTTTCTTAAATAATATAAAATCAACAACTCTGGGATGAATTAGAAACAAATACCTGGACCTCTAGGAAGCCTAGTGTAATAAAAATAAAACTTTAAAACTAGAAATCAAAATGAATAATACAACTAACAGGACAGTTCTGTTTATTAATAGTTTGCAAGCGTAAAATCATACTTTCTAAGCACAAAAATTCCCCTGTTGTCGCAACTAGCTGTCAGCCCAGTCTATTATAGAGGGTTTGCTTATGTGGTGGTTATTTTTCAAATTACACAAAAAAAAGCTCTACAGAATGTAATCTGTGGCCTAAAAGTGCCAGAAAGATAGGTCAAGCAAATTTCATTTATACATATCTATGATGAAGCATGAAGCCCCGACTAGCTCTGTTGGTAGAGAAAGACTCAATCTCAGGGTAGTGGGTTCGTGTCCCACGTCAGGTGCAAGGTTCTCTAATAACCCATACTGGGCAGCAGCAGTATGGGGGGGGTGCGGTGTTGGTGGTATCTGCACGGAAGAAAGGTCTGGCAATCTACTTCTGAATCTTGCCATGAAAACTCTATGGATAGTGACAGTGGAACTGTCCATAGGGTTGCCATGAGCCGATACCGACTTCACAGCACTCAACCTACATGATGAAGCATACCAGGAATACATAACCATTTTGCCAGGGAATCACACATTTCATGTGATAGTACTATTGAGTTCTTCTATGCAAAGTTTGGGAGTATATGTATATACAGTATAGAATATATTTGACAAATCAAAATTATTTAGTGTTTGTTGTTTTCATTCATGTTGACAATGCAGTGTCTTATTAAATTCAATTTAAGAACACGAGAAAAAAAATATTCACCCCACCAATGACACTAAAGAAATGAATAGAAAAAGAGAATAAATAAAACTCCCATAACACTGTAGAACTGTGGGGCAGAAGGATGGCACAGTGCTTAGCATTCTGAACCTGGGGTGGTGTCTGCATAGAGTTTGCATGTTCTCCCTGTGTTCTTGTGAGTTTCATCCTGTCCAAAAACATACTGGTAAGTTAATTGGCTTCTGTAAAAACTGGCCCTGGTGTGAGTGTCAATGTATGTGTCTGTGTGTCCAGAGATGGATTGGTATACTGCCTTGCACCGATTGCTTGCTTGGATAAGCTCCAGTTCCCCCATGATCCTGTATTGGATAAAGCAGTAAGACAATCAATAGATGTAAAACTATGCTTGAAATATAAAAATTGTCTCAAGTAAAATCCTTTCATTAAAATTAGAACTCAAAGGGAAACATCCCTTTTTGTGAGAAAAGTGAAATATTAACTATTGCCTTGTTTTTTAAATTATTTTTAAGGAATGTTAACTTACTGAGCACCTTTAATATTTCTTTAAAATGTTCTTAAACTTCTTTTTTCATAACAGTTTCTTAACATCCATTTATCTTTCATATGCCATAGATTTTGAGATCTAAACTGAAACCCATTCATATAGAAAATCATTTTAGCAGCATGGTCAAACCCTAATTAAGACTGAGGTGGTGCAGGAGGAAGGGGGTTAAATTCAACTATGTGTTACACATTTATGACTTTCCAGGGAAAGAATGAAGGAATTCTGTGAGATATAGAAAGATAGCAGAAACAAGCATTCCTGTGTGTCAAAGCATTGACCACAGAAGGTTAGGAGTCAGAGCAGAGAAACTCGAAGAAGATAAGATATGGGCATCAATCCCTTACTCACCTTCAGAAATACAGCATTAGCAGGAATTAAGGTAAATAGGATATATATATATAAGCTAAGCAGTTGTCATTTTGCACTAGCTCCAAAGCATTGTAAAACATTCAGGCTTGGAGATAGTTGAAACTTAGTCATGTTGTTTTTACAACAGCTGCAGTAAATAAAGATGAATATATTCCTTATTACTTTAAGTTAAAGTTTAACTACTAACAATGTCAATATACTGTATTGTGACTGTTGTCTACCCTGCTAAGAAACAGATAACTGGAACAGAGTGTTTTATTGGAGTAACTCACCTGGCAGAAGAAAATGACAAACTGCCCTAAAGGAGGGGGCTGTCAGAACCTCCACTCTAATCTGGGACGAGCCAGTGAGCAGCTACAATGGCAAAGGTGGAGTGGGTTGTGGAAACAAACTTTTAATTGAGCAAGCAAAAAGCATGATATTTATATAACGTCAGTGCGAGATTAGGTTTTGACCATCTGCTGAGGTACAGTTCTAAAACCGCCACGGACCGAAGATTCATGAGGCTAGGAAGCCCCAAGGTATTTTCCTTACAGCCTAAAATTGGTGTGCAGTTGGTGTGTGAGTCAGTAAAGTGGTGCAGATGAAGCAGGGAAGAGAAAATAAGAAATGGTAGGCCCTGAGAGATAATGTGGATGGTATAGTTTAAGTGAGAATTCTTTAACAGCAGCCAAGCCTGCCTTGTGCTCAAAATGTTAGAATAGAGAATGATCCCTAGACCCAAAGAAAGAAAAGAGCCTGAGTCTTCTTCATGCTGAAGGCAACTAAGACATCTGAAAAAAAAACAATTCAAGGTTAGTGTAATGAGGGAAGATCAAAGAGAGGGCTCCTCTGGTGCAGTAAATGAAACCAAGACAGACTGTGAATTAACACTGTCATCACTGGTGCACACTACAAGGTGCCCTGAGGTTTAGGGTCGATAGGCATAAAATAAGGAAAGATGGATGTAGTGAGCTAAGCTTTTCATCCTGCTGCTTCGATTACATACAACATTTGTTGAAGATTGGGTAGTGTACAGTGTAGCACAAATTAGGGAGCACAAATTTCAATGCCAAGAGCAGGGAGGGTATGAAACAGAGATTGATGAGACGGTTTGTTTAACCAGAAGACATTCGGGTGGCCTTACATACAGTAGGTTCAGATTGAAAAGGGGGGCATGGTAAACAGGCATCAGCAGACAGGCAGGCTCCTATGGAAAAGGGTTTGTAATGATTCCACTGATACATGCAGGGGCTGGCTCGAACCGAAGACCGGAGGTGCAGAGCATGAGCCAAAAGGTGTCTAGTGATTCTATGATGCAGGTGGGCAGCAGCCCAAATCGAAAGCAGGAGGTGCAGACCTGAAGCCTGGCAGAAGAGCTGCTGAGGTGAGACAGGCACCTGAAGGGAAGCAGGAATCTGGTGCCCCGGGAAACACGTTTTGAGCCCTTGATACTGCTGGTGGCTTAGGGAGATAGCTAGGGGATAACGCCACACCTGGGCCACAGACAACGTGCAGGTGTTGGCTTGCAGTAATGGCTGTGAACGAGAAACCAGCAGAACACGTGTGCTTGCGCCTGCAGAGGCGACAGCGAGAAGATATTGCTAAGCTGTGATAGGTTGGACAACAGATGTTGGAGCAGGTGCAGAAATACAAGAAAGCAGAAGAGAGAGTGGACCAGGTGAGGATTGCAGTCTACCAGAGAAAGAGAGAAAGGGAGAAAAGATAAGCAGAGAGGATGGGTAACAACATTAGCATAGAATCCGTATCCTGTGAAACCCCCTTTTTTGAGCACTCTTCCGGTCCTTCTCATTTGCAGCGTCAGCACTGGGGAACACAGTTTGCTGGAGCTCCATGGAGGCGAGAGGATGAAAGGAGAAAAGAGGGAAGGTAGAATGGCAAGCAGGTTGTTTCCCAGGTGCAAGGAGGACGGACTGCAAGTGAAATGGTTTTTCACTACTAACTAAGGGATGTCACTGAAGAGTATTGTCTGAAGCTGTGAGCAACAGAAGTAAGATCATGGCAGGGGCGGAGCTGAGAAAACCTCTGAATAAATCTAACTCCTCAGCTTGTTTCCAAGGCCAACTAATGATTATAACTATGAATACACCTTGGAAAACAGAGAAAGGGTAGGACTTAACTTGTTTTGTATGGAATATATATTGTTTATGACAAGGCGGTTTGTCCCAACATGAACAGCAACAACTGAGCTTTATCTTGTTTTGCTAAGAGCCTGTCTAATTTTTGAATGACTTTAGACACCTCAGCTCCAGGGAGACACACTGTTGTTGCCTCAGGATTCTTCATGCAGATCTCATGCAGTATAGTACTCTTATAGTGGTCCTGGGAAGAGAAACTTTAACAACCACCACTTCTCTTTTCTAGTATTCTTGGTGGTAGTGACACTGACTGATGTTAGTGTCTAAACTTCAGTATCACAAATGGAGGTATCCACATTTTATTGAGATTCCAAGTCTTGATTATCTGTTTAACAGTGAAGAAAACTTAATGCAAAACTGCTCAGCTCCTCTGTTTTTGACAATTTGAAAAAAGAAATCTCTCTATTCCAGGTTTGCACTTAATGTATTTAGAACTTGAATTTCAGAGATTACTGCAAATTTCTATAATTCTGTATGCACCTGTAGAAAGACTATTACTTTTTGACCTATAATATATCACAGAGCATTTTGTGTTTGCCTTAAAAGAAATATTTACCATTTTATACTTCCTATTAAACACAATTTGATGCTGTTTCATAGTGTTGTCCAGAATTCTTTATATTCCATAATATGGAATTTCTTTCCATAACTCCATATTATTCTACCATAATACATGGTATATTATTAGCAAAGATGTTCAGAGGGTAGGCATTCCTCCCATACTTCTACTTTATCCAGAATTATTTGGTGCCACATACAGGTAATGTACCTGTTAAAGTTAAATTGGACCTTTTTTTCTGTACTCATCATTTCATTGTAGAAAACACCTAGTGTTAACAAGAATGGAAAATTCCTGGAGTTGACAGGAATGCAATTACGTCTGTTTGCCACTTGTTATAGTGTGATTCTCACATCTATCTTATGTACATTCTTTAATAATGGCTTACCGCTTCAAGGCGAGGCTTTCATCTTTTTTTTTCAGATCTTTCTGTGACAGTTTTGACCTGCCTGGCATTTAGTGTATTTGGATCTTCACATATCCTGTCACTTGTAATTAGTTACTATATGCATTCCAGGGTGTGCACATTGCAATACTTGTCCTGAAACGTCGTCGCTGACTTTTTACCATTTATAATATATAGTTTTGATTTTTTATGCTTAGATAGCATGAATCTTTCCAGATTGTAGAAGGATTACATAAGTGCTCTTTTAATAATGCTTTTTTTATTTTCAAGGTTAATTTTTGTCATCTGGTTTTCCTAACCTGAGGAATGGAATATTTTCACATCATATTTCTGTGCTTCATTGTTTTCTAATTCTTATTATTCATGCTATTTCACCTCGCTACACATCATCAAGGTACTGTACTTGTGGAAGTTATGAATTTGAAGACGGAAATGCTCACTGGATGTTGTCTATGAGGCGATTCTCAAATCACTCTCAAGTATTCATTTCAAAGCATAAAATAGCAGGAAATTTTGAGGACAACAAACCTTGAGTTTGGCTTCAGGTTCTCTACGGGTAAATGGGTACCATTTGCTGAACTGGATGACCATCGGTTATTTAAAACATCATCGTAGGAAGCGCTGTGTACCATATATCCTGTAGAGTCAGAAAGAAAAATCCATCAGATGTCCATTTGTGCTCTTCTCATTATACCTTAATATAATTTTAAAATCACAAATTCTTAACTATGGCATTGGTTTGTCTGTAGTTCGAAAATGAACTTAATCTTACATCCAGCCACAGCTTTCTACTTACCCATGCTTACAATATAAGAAGGTTTTGCTTTCCTATTGTTTATTTGTTTTGCAAAAAACATTTCAAGATGAGCACTGTCTTTCGTAGATATTAATAATGTTAGACAGCAAACATAATTTAAACCAGAAGTTTGAAAATCAAATTCCCCAGGAAGTGAATCAGACAATGTTAACCTTTGCATTAGACTGTACAGAAAATAACCCACCTCAAAAAGGAATGCTTAGATCACACAGTACATTAGATGGAAAATATTTGTATTGTGCTTTCTTAGTCATCTAGATCAAATTTGGCTCTGTCAGATACTTAGGATCACAGCTTCACTGCTGGCTAAATGCCAATACACCTGGCTCTGGTAGTGTAAGGTGAAATATTGCACCAGATGGTGGAGTACAATTTAACATTAAAGTAAGATGCAGTAGTATTATTTTACTATAAATTAACATTTGTTTAAATAAGGAAAAGATCCAGAACATCTTTCCAACTAATACTGTATTACTAAGAAAATATCAAATGGAATACCTCAAAATCCTACACCCCAATTCCCATCTAAAGATTTTTATTCCATTTTTTCCCTTCCCTTTTATTCCCTCAAAGAAAACAAATTGGTTCAAGGTAACTAGCATCTTAACAAGTGCCATTTGATTTAACTCAGAATTCTGCTGTATTCCTAAATGTAAGTAAAACTGATTTGTTAAAGAGTCCAACAAAAGCTAAAATAACTTTGAAAACATTAATCTAAATAATAAATCTGGGAATTTCTTGAGTCAATCTCAATACCTTAATTACTTCTGCCTCTTCTGCACATAACACAGAATATTTTCCTTCCACTGCTTGAGACATATTATTGACCCCTTTCTTAGTGTACACCTGAGTGAAATACTCATTTAGTACATCAGCTATTTCCCTTTCAGAAATATTTGTCTTAATCCTTTATGGTTCCTTTGCTGTTGTTATACTGAAATAATTATTTGCTTTTGTAGCTTCCATTGCAATATTCCTTTTAAGTTCTCTCTTGGAGCTTCCAATATCCATTTTCCTGTGGAAGTAATACTGTATATTCTACTGTGTTTTTACTGGACCCTGTTGTTTTGTTTAATAATTTTATGTAGTGCTCCCTTTTCCCTTATTGTTTTTCTAATTGATCTGGTAAACAATATAGGGTACTGTTTTCTAGTTTTTGAGTTTTCTAGTCTAGGGTAAATTTGTTTTGTGGGTGTGTAAAACGTTTAAATTGCTGCCATCCATTTTTGGTTCTTTTAAACTGTCTTATTCCTTCAAAAATCTGCTTTCTGGAAAGTGTGATAATAATGCAAATAATGTTTTTTTTAAAGTGCAAAAAGAATCACAGGTCAGCTCCAGTGTGCTTGTAGGTTTTCATCAACAGTATTTGTACACAGTTAGCACATGGCTACAACCACTTTTACTGTACTGTAATATGTACTATAAAATTTGTGGGTTTTGTCGCTACTACTATTTTATCGCTACGGCAACCATTTCACTGGTTATCTGCCTGGCTCTCTCAAGTGTCCTGAGCTACAGTGTATTGCAAAAGTATTTTCTGTGCAAATGGGCCCTCTTTAACAGTCTTTACTGCCTATCCCCAGTAGAAACAGTAGAAGTCACAATCTCCCATTGTAAAATTAAAATATGAGTATTGAGAAGTACCCATATTATGTGAAGTAATATATACTGTACTGTACTGGATTAATTACAAAATGTCAAGTAACCTGGCATTACCTGACACCATGTCATCTTTCAGAGGGCGAGCCCAGTCCAAGATGACGAAAGAGTGGCAGCCCTCCATGGCCACCACAGTGATATTGTGAGGCTTGCTCTTAGGTGGCTGATGGGTGCTTTGTCTGTCTTTCTCAAAGAGGTTTTCCAGAACGTCCACCTGCAGGTACTCCAGGGCCTCTGTTAACGAGCAGGGTGCCCCAGGGTCTTTCTGGATGTAGTTAACATATGGGGCTGTGAACAAGAAAAATTATCAATCCTTCTTGGAAAACTGGCATGCCATTAAACAAATAATGTAAATAAATTAAATAAGATTACCATTTATTATTAAGTTTAAGCCAAGTTATGATCGTTCAAGCACAGAGAGAGAACTCCTTGCTATGCATCAGAAATCTCACTGGTTGCTTTGCAGTTGAAGAAACGTGATGATCTCTATATGCAAGTGGACAACATTACGGCAATTGATCAAGCAATTGGTAGTGTGAAGTTTTGCATGAAAACAAAGCTTTGTACATGTGAGCATAGTTATTTGCTTGCCCTAAAAGGTCATGATGTCCTAAAAGGCCACAACAATGCTCAGAATGAAAATAACTTCATTACAGTTCATTACAGTATACTGTATACTCTTCACCCTCTCTAATCAAAACGTTTAATGAACAGACATTATGCATACATCTTTTTTCAATACAATAAAAAATGTATGCATAATGTCTGTTCATTAAACATTTTGATAATAATAATGTCAGGCTGATAGCAGTGACAGCTGTCATAAATAGCACTCAAGGGCAGCTAAAGTTTCATTGCATTTCAGAAAGTTTTTTCTAATTATATAATGAGTATTTAAATATAGAGATATTGTACTCTATATTCACCCTATATACAGAAAAAAGAATTGCATTTTTTAAGCACTGTGTCTTTTTCATATTGATCATCTGGTAATATACTTCATCATGCTTTGTTTTCCATTGAAGACTGCAAACTTAACACGGTCTCAACCTAAACTGCTGCTTCTTTTATCTTTGTTTCTGTTTAACAATTTTAAATAATCTGTCACAATAATCTGTCACAAATACATCATCCACAAATACCAGAACATCTCATATCATATGACACATTTCTTTTCAGAAGGAATTTAAAATGGAATACCAATGGAATACAAATATATTTTCATAAAACACAGCTATGCTGTGTTGCGCTCATGAGAAACAATTTCTCATCCTCTATTTTGTTTTTCTTTTAGACACTTCATACAAACCTTCAGCAGCTGTTTCTTCCTAGAACAGGGATTTGAATTTGAAAGCAAGTAAATGTTCTGACAATATTTGGGACAGCATAATTTCAGCCCTCAAATTTCCTGATATGAGCTTGATCCCCCACACAGGTTACAATTGTACAATAGTAATTCGTCTTTAACCTCTTGTGTACACTCGGTCCACTGGGGCACTGTAAGAACCTTTTTACATGCACAGACACTCCAGATATGGCTAGGTTAAGGAAAGTTTCTTTTTTTCCATTATTCCAGACAAGACAATTCCTTCCTCACATCTGATGCTCCTATCTTGGTCTTTCACAGAAGCAGAAATGGATCTGGTTATTGCAGCTGAAATGTTGTTGGTGATTTGTTGAGAACCTCCTCTTTTCCTTCCCAGATGTCACTTTATTTTCTCTACTGAAGTGGGAGTGGAAATAGTCAAGGAATGGAATAGTTATGCTAATGCAGTCATACCTTAATTGCACTATACATCTAAAACTATTTGTATCCTTTTGGAGTCCTCTAGTGAGAATGGGGACCACTGACAGATTGGAAGAGTAGGTACAGTAGGTGGGATTGTGCAGGATGGTGAAAAAGTTGCTTTTGTTTAGTATTTGATTTGCTATGTTAGTTCATTTTTTTTCTAAGATAAAAAACATAGGTTCTGCTGCATTTTTCTTGCCTTGTGTAGAATAATCCAAAGCATGAATAAACATACTGTTTGATTCTTAGCTAGCTTAAAATAGCCTGTGCTTTTTAAGTAACTGAAATCAACCAGCTGGAATTTTGTTTTGACTTAGGCAATCAGAGGAGTCATATTTGATAGGATTTAAACAAATCAATATCAAAAGAATGAAGACATGAAATTCTGCAGCGGTTTAATGAAATTTAATTCTGGGTTCATTCATGAAAATTGAATTTTACACAGTTTGTAAAAATATTTTAAGGTTTTAAATATGAATTTGAACAATTGCCTCACACTAATTCATAACACCTGGAATTGTTTAAATACATTGTGTAATAATACAAATGCTTTAACTGTATTTAAATTTATATTCTCATTTAATTTCTCACTGAAGAATTAGTTTTGACCAAATGTTATTTTACAACCTTCAAAATTTGCCATTTCTAAGGTGTATTTTGTGTAATGTTTTATACTCTAAGCAGAAATTCAATTCGAACTCATTAATAAACTCTTATGAATCCTGGGAATACTTTAGTTGACACAAGGTAAAACTAATATTAATTTAGATATATTATTCTACACTAAATAAAAAAAACAACAAATTATTAAATTGTACCTGTGCAGCAATCAAACAAAACTGTTTACTAACAAGGGAAGAGAGATACTGTAGGCTCAATCTTGAGACAGACTAAAAGGCAGATTACAGAACACCTATCTACTGTAGTTATAAATAACAAAATAAACACATACATATATATATATTAATGCATGGTCCGTTTTGTACAGCCAACCATTAAAAAAAAAAAACTTTAAATACAGCATCTCAATATTTCTTATTTCCTATTTCCAATTCAAAACTTTTTGGTCAAATTTTAATAACGATGAAACCAACTATTGAATATAAAGGGATGTTGTATTTAATATCCCTAAAACACTAAAATATTGAGCTAAAAGTTTTACATGAACTGAGCTGAATGTGTACATACAGTAGCATGGATTGAATGAGAAGTGGATATGATGCAGACTTTGACCTTTTTGATGAAGTACTGTAGATTCAGATATGCTGTGCTTCAGAGAAACACTCATAATGAATGAAGTGAAGAAGAAACACATACAGTAAGTATGCTGTGGGTCATACTTAATTCAAGTCAGCAGCGGCAGGCAGCAGAAGACATCTTAGTGACCTGGCAGAGATACCTGACCAAGAGGTAGGAAGAGAGTTATTGTTTGCTCAAATTTGATAGAATGGATAAATGGATAGAATGAAAAACATGAGAAAGAAGAAGGAAAATCATACTGTAAGTTCTGGAAAGGCTGGGGCTGTAAGTGAGGTGGGGTTTATGCTTGACCACAAATGGAGGGAAAAAAGAGAAGCAGAGAGAGCAAAGTGAGCAGGGTTAAGAGAAGAGAAGAGATAATGGAAAGGTAAAAGGGAGACAATGAATTCAAAAAGTACTGGAAAGAATTGCAGATGGCATTGTCCCTTCTTATCCGTGGATACTTTTGAGTTGAAAAAGCATGAAAGTTATGCCGGTCCTGGATTGTAGGAGACAAATGCAATAATAATGTCTTATTAATGCCAAGAGTGAAACCTGTCTGACTCCAACGAGACTGAAATACCAAGTGTTAGAAAAGCTGAACAAACACCATATGCAATCATATTTACTATATACAGTAAATAGGTGAGCAGAAATGCAACATTAATATTTGACCTCCTCCTGAACTTCTGTTAAATACTGTAATACCATTTATATTTGTAAAATGGTGATTTTGAATGTGTTCAAATTTTAGGTATACCTGTATACAGTTTTTTTTAATTGTATGTCTGCCCCTCCAGTCTCTGTGGTTAAGTTAATGAAATAACTTTAATAAGTGCAAATAACTGAATGTTTCAAACCAGGAATAAAAGGAATAAAAGTCCTTTGTATGTGTATAGTGCTGGTGATCTTTTGATTAGAAGGGGATAAGATGATGAAAGAAAAAGGCCTTAAACCACATTACCATATATTGAAGGAACAAAATATTGTAGGAAACTGTAGACAATACCAGTTTGATCTTAAAATATCAAGGAAAAAGTTCTTAAGAAAAAAATGTTGTTTATTTTTGCTATTAAGTACAAATCAGAGTTATCTGGCTTTTCCTGTTCCCCTGTCTGTTGTCCTGATTGTTTTTGTAATATAATAGCTGTTGAAATGCTGGGTAATTATTTTGCCAACATTTTTAAATGTTTGAAATAACAAATTGGAATACAATATATCACACTAAAAAATAAGGCCCTACAACAAGCTTCTGAGGTTTTGCTAGTATTTGTAATAAACACCTATATTCTTTTGTTTCTGATTTTACAAATCACTAACCTTCATCTCTAAATGAAAGGAACCCACTGTTTTGTAAAGAGACATTGCTTGAAAATGTATTTGACAACATTTCCCTCATTGGAGGGTGTTGCTATGCGTGTACTTATGATTCATGTTTTACTATAGCTCTTTGCTTACAATGATTTCACTGTGCCTTGAACCCTAGTGAAATTTTATCACATACAGCACACTACATATTTTCAAGGTGCTTCTCTGATTAGTAGCATTCACCTAGTTTTTCTTTCCATCACAAGATATTTACTTACATTTTTAAAATCTACATTTTGATTAAATTCTTTAAAGGAACATAATGTCCTCCAAAATAAACGTAAGATTCAGTTTTTTATTTAGCCCTTGAGACAATCATGGATGTCACAATGTGTCAATTCTTCCTAATTTACTAGAAAGGATCTGAAAAAGCATATGTTTGCTAATTTTTTGGCAGTCGCTTGCCTCTTCTTATTGCCAACTCTTGATTAGAAGCTAGTCTAACTGAAGCAAGTGACTCACATCTCACAGAGGAGAATCAGACATTCTATGTTTTATGTGCCCTGGCTATGAGGCATAATTCTGCTGGACATTTGTATGAAACAATGAACTAAAAACAAAAACTGAAGTCACATTGCATTGGAAAAAAGTTCATTGAACCTACTCAGCTACTGACATGCGAGCTACAGAAAGCCCAATTTGGAAGAAACAGAAACACTGGTCAGACAAATAAAAGACGTGGAATCCTAGATGCATGGATATTAAATATTATACTCATAAATTATATCATATCTATCACACTAGCCTGAAGGAAAACACTGCTGTTGTCAGAGTTTTAAGAAAAATATTTTAATGGATTTCAGATGTGTGCAATGCAATAACCACAACAGGGGCAATCTATCACCTCTGCAGTTCTTTGCCAGTTCTCTTTGTAGCCTGGTGCCATTGGCTCCTGCTATCCCCATCCTTACCACAGATGTGTGAGTGGATGAGCTTCTTGATGATTCAGCATGCTGTGTTGAGATGATCTGTCTCTGCATATTTTCTGCCACTGATGGACCATTAATAAAGACAAGGGATATACCTATCAAATACACTTTCTTTTGCCAAAAGACTCCTATATAATAGACAAGCCAAAATAAGCACATTAAGCAATAGTGCAAGCTTGCAAGCCTTCTTACTAAGCTGACTAAGCCTTATTTAGATCTGCATTATTTTCTTTGCTATGCTGTGATACAGTGCCTTGATCATCTTAGAGATATATTAGCATTGAAACCATAACATTTACCAGAAAGGAAAAAAAAAGAATTCCTACTACTTTATGTTAATGTGTAAATGTTTGCTTTCTTAAAATTCTTAGGTCACCCAGCAGCATCTAACAAAAAAATGAAAGACTTGCCAATATTTTCACTTTTCTGCAGCCTGGAATCAGCTTCTTAGGTATTTTTTCCTGACTGCCGCACACTGAACCTTGAACAGGTGTTTCAGGTCATACTCAATATCACACACAAGCATGCGATCCAGCTGGTTCTGTTACATCCCACTTATCTTTCCTTCTCAACTATTGCCATGCAGTGTCTCCATCTGGTTCATTAATGCCTCTTCAGAATGTGATTCTCTGCAATGCTGGCTAAGCCTCAAGAATTTCCAAAGAGATTCTGCTTCAGAAGCTCTACAGCCCACTTCTGTTTTGCCCTCCAACCATTCTCACACCACTCCTGCTCTAGAGGAATATAGATTTTAAGCCCGTCTTACTTATTTACAACCTAAATGCTATCTTAGTAAACAATAGTTATCTCCAATAAAGCAACAAGTTCACCTGGTACTAATGCAAATGAAAGACATTAATGCAAGAACAATGTCTGGTCTGAACCCAATGTAGTGCAATTTCTTTAGTTCACTCCCCATTTATGAACAGGTGATACTCTGTTGCATATACTTAAGCACCTAATATTGTCTGATTTTTTAGTGTTGGAGCAAGTTTTAAGCCTGTCTCTTAAAAAGACAATTAATGGTGTTGTAATACTTGTAATTACTTTGCTTGAGTGAGACCAAAAAACATTGCCACATACAGAAAAAAAAATACAATAGTCACAGTTACTGAACTCATTCTGCAGAAAGTCCTGAACAGTTTCTTTCAGCATTTTCACATTCTCTCTACCTGAAGTTCAACCCTTACCTTTTAACTGATACTATTTGACATTATGGACCCTTACTGAACTCACATCACTTTTATAGTAAAGGTATGCTATATCATTTCAGATATCACCAATGCATACAGAATTCCAGTATTCTGAAATGGTAGGAGCCTTATCCTACATGCAGTAATCCATCATATTGCTAAAAATACATCACAGTGTTGTGAAACACTGTCAAATATTACTGGATTCTTTATGAGATCTCTAATGTATGTAGCTTAATAGCCATTGTTCTGTCACATTAGTGGGTCCCGACTAGCTCTGTTGGTAGAGCATGAGACTCATCTCAGGGTAATGAGTTCAAGTCCCATGTTGGTTGCCAGGTCCTGCATGGTGGAGGTTGGGCACAAGGCTAACAACCCTGTCCCATAAAAAACAACTAATGTTACAGTTACAGCAACAGGATGTTGCTGCCCCTAGATGCCGGAAAGCATAATGAGCAAACATCCATCCACTATCACATTAGATATTGTGTTACAGGGTTTCTCAATTGCTTGAACACACTTTTTGTGTTTTTGGAGGAACTGCCTCAGAAAGAAACAACAGTACAATGAAATTTTGAACGGAATATGGACTGAGTAAAGGAGGTGAGGTACCAGTATGCACAGGTAAGATTTCTTCACAATAGATCTATTTTTATGCACCCATGATCACTGACTGCTGTGCTGCTCACTTTATTAATTAAGAGAATTATGGAACTTGAGGCCAGTGAAATACCACACATGTTTGTGTATGCAGTTGAATTAGGTCTATAGTCAGTTAGGTCTCCTGACGATAGTCAGGAGAAGAGGGAGGAACAACATTGTAGAAAGAGCCACTGTCAATGTGGTCAACACACATAACAACATGTGATCCCTAGCATCACAGTGTGTGCAGCCATATTTCTGATGTGAGCCTCAAGAAAAGCTAAGTAAGGCCTGGTCTGCCCAGCTTTGTGATTATTTGAGACAACATACTGTAAACTTTCATCATTCAGCCCTCATTAGACAATTGTTTGCAGAGCCATTATTGTACGTGTGCAAATGGAGTTCCTGCCTCCATTTCCCATTTTCCAAATCCATGAGAAAAGTTATTCATATGAACAGATGTTTCTTGACATCAACACTTCTTGATTCAGTAAATCAAGATTCAGATACACCGTAACAGACATTTTTCCTTGCTGTACAGTACTGGGAGGGAAAATATTACATCAAATGTTGGTAAACCATTTGTGAGTTGACAATTGTTTGTGGTCGTCTATGGTTGTCTGTGTTTATGGTTTGACAATTCTCTTTCTTTACTTTTTTGCCAACACCCAAATCACCCTGCAACTCATAGCTGGCAACCCACTGAAGCTTAGCAGGTGTGAGCCTGGTCTGTACCTGGATGGGAGACCTCCTGGGAAAAACTAAGGTTGCTGCTCGAAGAGGTGTTAGTGGGGCCAGCAGGGAGCGCTCACCCTGTGGTCTATTTGGGTCCTAATGCCCCAGTATAGTGACAGGGACACTATACTATAAAAAAGTGATCTTCTGATAAGACATAAAACCTAACTCTCTGTGGTCATTATAAATCCCAAGGCGTTTCTCAAAAAGTGTAGGGGTGTTACCCTGGTGTCCTGGCCAAATTTCTGTTTGCATTGTAACATAGGTAAACTTTAAAATTCTTTTAAAGTGTTTTCTGTGTCTGAGTGAAGTCATTTTGAAAAATTAACATACTTTAGGTCTTGATCCAATATTTATGGTTAAATATTGTTAAATCGCTGTATCAGACAGTATCAAACGGACACAGAAAAGGGGAACATTTGAGGTTATCCAGGGCATTTGATAGTTGTAATCAATATTTAGATTGACATTTTACAAGCATTGATAAAGAGGACTTTCATTAAATGACATAATAATTGGAGCAATTATTTGATTTGACATGTAGTACTGTATGTGTTCTGAGTGTCTTAGTTTTATGCCAATGATGTTATTTTAAAATCTGTGTTAAAACTTTAAGGTTTGTGTCAAATGTTTTGAAAATTGTTTAAACCTTTTCATGCAATTCAGAGAAACTATAAGATATTCACACAGACCTGGTATTGTACAAAAAATAAAGTACAGCAGCAAGCATTTGGAAAATACCTGTAAATCGAGGGTTTCCAGCTGCATCAAACCCTGAAGTAGGACCGTTGTTGAAGTGCATAGCTTCTGTGTATACTTCCTCAGTTTCTGTTGTAGTAGCTTCTGGTGATTCCCTTGTAGTAGGTGTTGTTGGAGTTGTAGTTGGAGATAGAGTTGTCTGAACAAACTGAAATTCTTTAAAAAAAAGGAATAAACTTAACACATTACTATTGTGGTACAATTTCCTGAAATATCCTGGAATTTATCACCACTCTCTATAAATTATGGACAGATAATCCCAGCCCAACAAGGTTTCATTACACTTCTGGTCTCAAGTGAGGACTAAATATTTGCATATGAAGTTGAAGTCAAATGTTTGGTCTTATTCCAATATGAAACTCCTGTTAATGTGCACAGCAAACTATGATGATTTTTCCCTTCGTTTAATTCTGTTGAAAAAATGTTGAATATATTTTATATTTTTAAAGTTTTATTTATTTATTTTTAAACTATATTTTAAATTATAAAATAAAAAATATTATATATAATATAATATTATAACACGTAAAACACATGGAACACCATTCCTAGTAAACTCAAAAGTTTTTTAACTTAAATATTCAAGTTTGATTGGACTAAGTTGAAGAAATTGTAATAACTGAATTAAGATTTATTTTGTGGAACATAGTAACACATGTACAGTACCTAATTAGGATGAGTGTAAAATGAATTGTAATTGGGAAATATGGTGTATACAATGTACATTCATTCTAGCTTTAATTATACACCATATAATTTTTTTGTGTAAGGTGACAAAACTATTAAGATATCATTACTGATAGAAATGACTTCTGGAAAAATACATTTTATTTGGAACATAGAGGAGGTGCTATACACTAGTGTACTTACAGTTTACTGTACTGTATATTCTGAGGTCAAATGTACTAGATTCCAGAAGTCAGTATGGAGTGTGATGCTCATTGAATTATTGAAAGCAAGTGAATACTATCGCATAAACCAAACAAGTGTCTGAATAAATATTCACAGTCATAATAGATACCAGTGCGTTGCTTTTGCTACTGGCAGTAAGCAGTTACAGATGTGGGCTTGACATGAAGGTCAGCCCAGTCCAGGAATTGTAATTCTAGCATGGACTGGTGGTGGGATGGTCTCCAGTACTGTCTGTCTGTCAGTTACAAACACTCTTGAAACTGTCTTTTAGTATCACTACAATCTCCTTCCAGGCTCACAATCCAACTACCTAATGAATTCCAACATCCTTTTCTCTGTTCTGTAGCATCTATCTTGGCATTCAGTAACCCCTTTCCAAATGAAGAAATCTAAAGTTTGATATAATATATATTTGATATAATTCTTTCTTTGAGGTCTTTACAGCATAACCTCACGAGACCTTGTGAACGTTTGGATACAAAGTGGTGTAAAATCTGAATGTAGGTACTGTAGGTGACTCCCATATCCGAGCCACACCTCAGGCCAGAACTCATCCTGGTTTCCATGGCATTAAGTGAATGAGAGAGCTCATGACTCCCCACCGTGAATATTGCAGAGATTACCCACTATCAATACATTTATACACCTGGGTGGTGTGATCTAACAGGGTAAGTTTTTAAACCTATCAGGGCTTCATCAAGGTACAATAGAAAGTCTGAAGCAGGGACCTGAAGCCAAAACTCATTACTTATGACACCAGAGACTTAACCACTAGGCCTCGCTGTTCACAAGAGCTGCATGTGCAGATAGTAAGACTTTCCACTGAGACATTAAACATGTACATTTTAAATGTATTTGCATATTTCCATACCTAACACCAGTACATTTTGCATAATAAATTTCAATATTTTGGCAATGGAAGCAATTATAACTTTTGAGTGGTGTCTCCTTAAGTTTGGCAGCTATAACAAATTGGAGCACATTGGTCATATTTACAATGTGATTCATAGGGCATACTTGTTTGGACACATAACAAGTAAAATATATAGCTTTCTACCCACATATTTGAGATAAGGAGTAACACAATTACACATGAAACATTGTTCAGGGGTTTGAATGAAATAATGCATTTTTCCATTGTCAAAACATCTTAGAATCCATTGCTTTTAGAAAAACAACTAACTGCAATGTGCTGCTCTGTATACTGTACCACAATTGTTTGACCAAATTTGGTATCTCCTAAGTTTGAATATCTTTGTCCATGATGCCGATCCACTTCTACAGTACATGAAACTAAATGCTTGAAATGGCCACTTATTTGAGTTAAGGAAATATTTGCATTGAACTACAGAAACAAAAGTAAAAGGTAATTAATAATTGATTCTTACACTGAAAAACACATCTGTGACAGGGTGTGAACAGGAGCTTGTCTAGGTGGTTACAGCTGCAGGGAGTTGGAATCTTAATGGGCTGCATCTGTGAACTGCCCTACATAAACATCCTGTCTGAAAGAAGTAAAATTGTATCTAAAAGTAAAAATGTGCGTTGGATGAAAGCGCTCCTAAACCTGCAGAATTATTGTGTTTGTAGTCAATGAGGTAAAAGGTATGGCAGGGCAGTCAAGTGCTGTCAGCTGCAGATCCCATAGGAAAGCAACAGCTACTGGCTAAAGACACTGGAGAAGAGGCTGGGCAGCTGCTGTGGAGGTTAATCTGTGGGACTGAGGTCCCCTGGAAGTCTCAGGGACACCGTTAGCTGGAAGAACTTTGGACGTTTGCATGTTTAGTATTGTGGATTGAATAGAGCTCTGGGAGAAGAGCCTGGTGAAAAGCAGCCCTACAGGCAGCAAAGGCTGACAGCTGCGATTGGCAAAGATGTAGCAAGGTTGAGGAGAGGACTTGCTGCAGGCTGCTGCAGAAGCAGTTTGTGTGTACAATGTATACTTGTGTCTGGGACGAAATACTATGAAATAGCACAATTGCAGGTGGAGAACAACAGAAATATGAATCACCTGAGGGTTGATGAAGAGAATCAAAATCAGTGATATCACCAGGTTAGTATTACAGTACTTCTAGGCTGTGTTTTACAGTTTAGATATATTTAGTTGTGAGAAATATTTAATATTTTGAAGATTATTACAATACTTTTAGATATATTTCTGAATTATCAATATTTTGGTCACATGATTTGCATTTAATATTCCCATATTCTGCCAGAAGATAAGATATTTTAAGCGTCCTGCTAGGGAGTCAGCAAGGCTGGGTAATTAAGCCAAAATTCTGTGTGGTCCACTTGTTTGAGGTAGTTGGAATTGAAAATATTTTTTAGGCGCTTCCTCTGTGGTCAATGTAAGTTAACACAAAAATGTTATAATGGATGGCAGATCCTAATGTTTATTTTGTAGTGAACCAGGAACAATATATTTTTTTCGATTTAGGATTTAATTAAAATTGCTTGATTATACCTTTGGGTATTTTATTTAACATGTACAGTATATGGAAGAAGTTAACCAAACATTACAAGAGTTAATTCACACAGGTTAGAAGCTCCATTAAAGTATTATTGAAAGGAGAATGCACCTGTTCATTAAATCCCTAGCCATATTTAACAAATAATTTGTTTATATAACAGTCTTTAATTCATGCCATCTTGTTTTTCTGGTATTCCTCCTGCCTTCATATAGTGAATCTCGTCTAGGGTAAGGGTGGCATTAAGTGCCAACTACCTTTGTTGATTGGTAGAGTACTTTGGGACAGGCAAACAGTGTAATCCTTTCTTTCTGTTTTAAAGCCTTCAAATACAATGTAAATAAAACAAAGGTCAGAAGAGAAATTATGTGGCAATGCATTTCAAACTGAATATGGGCAGTAGTCCTTTTCCTAAAGGGGTCTGAGAATATGTACAGAAAATATTTCTGTACACATTAGACTTCTCAATTAAAACCGAAGCTATTTTTAAATATGAATGGTGTTGTAGGCTCCTTTGTGGTTATCTCAGTGATGGTTGGAATAATTGTTAGTTTTATGTATTAAACATTTTTAGCAGGCATAATAACGTGCTGTTTCATTTTTGTTTCATTTGCTCTGTCCAATGTTTGTACTATCTGTTCACTGTTCACGAATATGTTTGTATATACTGTATACATGTTTATTTTAAATAATACTTTCATTAATGAGTATTTGGTTAGAAACATAAATTGTTCACCCAAGCATTCATGGGGTAAATCATTTTTTGGGGAAAAGTAACCATATCATGAACTGTTCTACAGCAAATAAATCCCATCATATGTATATCCAATTAGTTCTGATTTTGCACAACTGAATAATATATTTCTAGTGTTCCTACCTTCAGGGTAGCAATCAAGTATGCCATCTTCTCCAAGCAATGGATATCCTCTCTCATCTACCTGGGAATAGGTCCCAGGTGGGCAAGTGGGGAAAATGAATGGTGTCGTAGACTCCTCTGTGGTCATCTCAGTGGTGGTTGGAATAGTTGTTGGTTCAGGAGTGGTTGTAGTTGTTGCAGCAGTAGTAGTGGTTGTTGTAGTTGTGGTTGTAGTTGTAGTCATTTTCTGTGTTGGTTTTATAGGGTCCAAACCTACTAATGGTTTTCCTCCTACTGCTAGCAGCTTATCTTTAGGATTGACCACTGGTCTGCTGTCCCTCCCATGTCCAAAGAGAGCAAGCCCATCAGGACTCACCAGTGGAGTTCCTTGATCATCTGAGGACAACAGACAATATGAGAAGATCCCTTGAGATGTCAAGACTTGCATTTGATTTTTTCTTCACCACTGACATTAGATCTGGAACAGCCTAATGAATCTTTGATTCTTTCTACATTGTTTCCAGACACATTTTTCTTAACTCTAATGAAGCTAAGCAAAACACATACAGGGAATTTCTTATGAAGTATAAACTCTATATAGAAATATACACTCTGCTCCTAGGACTGACACTAACATACTATGCAAAATTAAAAATAAAGTTAATGAAAAGCAGGAAAAATTACCATGTATATGAACTGAAATTATATTTACTGTATATATACTGTAGATATCAGCCATTGCTTAACTGGTATTTAGAGTAAAAGTTTATGAACTCTGAAACTGGATGAAAGGTGACAAAAGTATTCACCCTATTTATTTGTGTGTGTGATGTACATTTGAATGTGCACCTTAAATGGATTATTAATTCTGTTTTGAAATTTGGAATATACAGTGCCTTGCAAAATAATCCAGACCCTTGCACACATTTCACATTTTGCTTCATTAAAGCTTGCAGACATTACACTTTGAAGTAGCAATTAATATTTTTTATAGCCACAACCTACTGCACACATCCAAAGCACAAAATATTTTAAACACCTCTTTATATAGTAGAAAGTAATAGATATAATAATAAATTATTTTCATTTCATTCAATAGAATAAAAGTCATGAGTGAATAAGTATTCAAATCTTGTGCTGTACGAAAATTAATTTAAGACCTTTGAGCAGGTACAGTAGCTGCATCGGGATGAGATGTCTTTCTGCAGTAGAAGCTTCAAAACCCCTTTCTTTCTGATCTCATCATTTATCTCTTACAGAGGAGGTGTTTCAGATCTTCTGTTACAGAAAGACATCTGAAACCAAAATTATCCTTAAACTTGGATCACACCTTCCCACTCCTCTCAATGACAGACGCATCTCCTTCAAAATCCTTTCTGTTCAATTGCAGATTTTTGCTTTCCACACCTCACCTCCCATTCTCCCTGGGTTTGGACACTCATTCTCACCTGCTTTATAGCCATTTCCTCCCTGTTTCCCACTCATTCTTACCTATTCTGTCTTTTGTTCTCCTATATTTTATTTATCTGCTACTTTCCCTCTCTTCCTCACATCTGAAGAAGGCCCCAGCTGAAACATGGTGTTTCTTTTCTTTACCTTTAGCATAGAATGAACCTTTGCATATCCATTTAAATTATTGTAGACGTACCAGTTTACCTTAATCAATCACATAATTATTTGAGTGGCCTCTGTGTGCAATAATAATGATTCTCAAGATGTGAGAATAAAAACACCTGTTTCTGTGAAAAGGTTACAAAACATCTTGAACTCTCTGAATGCCAACTATGAGAGCACAGCAATTTCACCTTCAATCACCTGACAAGTTATAAGAAAGTAAGTACTTTCCAAATACAAACATCCCATCCAAACACTGACTAGATCTGGTCTTCTTTCAAACTAAGCAGCTGGTCAAGAAGGACAAATTCCACTATGAGGTCAATGACAGCTTTGAAAGAGTTACAGTATAGTATTTAATGGCTGAATTGGAAGAAAATGTCCGTAAATCCACAATATCATGGTCTCTCTACAAAACTGGCCTGTATTGCAGAGTGGAAACATCCATTTCAAATCCCACATGCACTTTTCAACTAATGATTTATGTCATGTTCCAAGCATGGAACAAAATGTTCTGTGGTAATATCAGACAAAATTGTAAAGTTTTGGTGCAATTGCAAACTGTTACATTTGGTGAAGAACCAATATGGGGAAATACCCAGCCTTGTCAAGCATGGTGATACTGGTCCTCAGCAGGTGCTGTAAAGCACGTTTAGATTAAAAGAAAACTTGATTGATCGAAATACAGGTACGTAAATACTTGAGGTACTGTAAACCTGTGTCAGTCTGCTAAAGCCTAAAACTGGGGTATGAAATAAACCTTTCATAAGGACAATGGTCCAAAGTACAAGATCAGAATTACTGTGAAGTGTTTTAAGAATAAGACAGTGAACGTCCTTGAGTGGCCCAGTCAAAGTCCTGACTAGAATTCTATTGAGAATCTGTGGAAAGACTTAAAAAGTTGTGTCCATAAGTAATCCCCAGGCAACCAGGGAGAGTTTGAGCAAATCTGCAAGGAAGAATGGGCAAAAATCACATTAAGCTGCTAATCATAGTTCCACCAAATATTGGGTTCAAGGGTCAGAATATTTATTGCTATTAACATATCTTTCCTTCTCCTTTGTAAATGTTGATATTTACTGTTACTTATATTACCCTTAGTAAGTAATATAAGTAACAGTAACCATAAGTATTTAGGCCCACATTTTGAATTAATTAATATTTAAAAAATGTGTATGCATCATTTCGGAATTTTTATAATGGAATTCCAAAAATGAATATTTTTACAAAGCACTTTATATATTAAAAGATATATTCAGAATATGTTTTTATATTTTGTTCCATTCAGGTAAACACTGAGTAAACCCAGGACAATACCACATGGCCGCACAATACAGTTCCTGTATTCTCCCAAAAAAATTGAAAAATGCACATGTATTAAACAAACCAAAAATTGTGCGTCCGTCTTCTCCAAGTACCACTCTACGAGGACGGCCCTTTGAGTCCTGCAGAATTCTTCCCTCTTGGTTCATTAAAAATCCTTTGTCAAAGTCCACTATCTGTCAAAAATACAAATGTTGATTTGTACAGAACATAACCTGTGTGCATGTAAGGCAATAGTTTCAGATTGAAACAAAAGATATGAGGATACTGCTGAAATGTATTTAATGAGGAAAACTGACACCCAAAAACTAGATTTGAGTATTTTAATTGATTCTTTAGATATCAGTGATATGGCTTTACCTACTTCAGCAGGGGGCAGCCCCCATTGCTCTATCCCCATATAGTGAAAGGAGTGAACCAGGGGGTAGCTGCAAAGACGGGAGTGTGGAGGGCTGATATACAGTAAAATGCATGATAGAAAATCAAAAAAGGCAAACTTTTCTCACATCATATACTGTATAGATTTAAAGAAAAAAAAACAGAAATGATATGATTTTGAACAGCTAGCTGAAGAGTTAAATGGTTGTTTTCATACACCCCGAATTTCAGTTTACAATTCCATTTTAAAAGGTTTTTAAGGGTTTCAACTTAAAATTCTGTTTTAAAGGGTTTCTGATAACAACCAAATAAATGTGAACATTGGAAATGCCCCGCATCATGCAAAGGACATTGTACAATTACTAGAGACATGCAGCATTTGCTTGAACAATGGAAATGAAATTCCACAAAGTCAGAAACAACAGAAAAGACATCTGTATGCTCACCCATTTAACACCTTCTGGTCCAGTGATTAACCTACGACCTCCTTGCTTGACTTTAGCATCTGAAGTGGACACAACTTTCCCATTTGTGTTTGTGAGATTTGGTCTGCCATTTTTCCCTGGGAACAGAGTAAGTGACACAATACGTAATCAGTTTCAGGAGTATTATGTTTAGAGATTGTAAGATTGAAAAGTTGAAAAGTTAAAAAACAATGAGAATGAAACACAAACTTTTTAAATGAAACTCAGTTTAAACAAAATAAGGAAACAAAGAGGAAATAGTAAGATAACGAGAAAGATTTGAACCATTTTTCTATGTGACAGAAATTGTATTAATTTGAATAAATAGAGGAACAACTTTTCAATGCTTCCAATTTATTTCTCTTTGTGGAAAAGTAAAGTATTTGAAAGTAAACTACTAAAACTACAACATTATTGGGTGTGAAAAAAAAAACAACCAATGTCAATACAAAATTATTTCCTTGATATAAGTTATTTAAGAATACATTTTGAATTCAATGTGGAGAATTATTTAAATATAGTCTGCCTTGTGAAAAACATTACAAAAAAACAGTAAATATGAAACTTGGTCAATTAAAAATACAGTATTACCTTGTGTGTAGCTAGGTTTCAAAGCACTGGAGGGAGTTTTTACCCGTGTGGCAACATCCATGCGGCCAGGATACCGTACCCTTGTACCTTGATTAGGTTCCCGAATCGGTGGTAAATGCGGTAGTGATGCAGAAGATGACTGGGATGAAGAGGTTCTTGGTACTGAAGAAGAAGCTGTGTGCTGTCTTTCACTAGACGTATGGCTGGAGGTTACATAAGGCAGCTGAGGAGATGAAACCCGATAAGATTCCACATTAAAAGGTGCTGCATTTAATTTAATAAAGAAATGAGCAATAAATGCAGTGTAAAAGAATAGACTTTTAAAAAACCTGAAGAAGAGGCAGAAGTAAAGCCTGATGATGAAGAAATTGGATTCCAGGAACCTACCTTTGAGTAATCTGAAGGAAGCAAACTTTCAGAATCCCTGGAGCCAGACTGGCGGTTTATAAACATGGGAGACCTTGATTTCCCATTGAAACCTCCAGCAGGCCGCTGGGGAACTGACTGGACAAAAGGTAAGTGTGCTTTTCCAAAACGTGGATTTGGTTTTTGAGGTTTTCTTAAAAATGAGGTAGTTACTTGGGGTTCTGCTGTCGTTGAAACTAGTTTGTCAGTTGTATCATATAGTTCTTTGCTTCCGTAATAATCATAATCATCATCTTCGTCCTTAGATTTTGGATGGATGGGATTATCAGAATCTAAATGTCCCTGGGATGGAGGTGAGGAACTGGAATCTGAAGGGATAACAGGATTTGAAGACTCACTTATAACTGCAGGATGTCTTTTTGAGGAACCGGTAGAAGCATGCTCTGATGGAAAAGAAATGGGGACTTTTGGCTTTTCATTTGTTTCTTGTGTAACGGAAGCACCTGAATCTGTGTGTGCCACATTTGATTCTGATGTCTGGGACCTTGTTGAGGATGATGGAACTCTACGTTGCCCAGAAGATGTATTCAATTTTGTTTCCTGTTTAGGGAAATGCCTGCGTAGCACACTGAACCTATTACTAGACAATGAAGGTGAACGAGTACGTTCTGAAGTTAATATTTTGGCTTCAGTATGAGTTCCTGTTGATGGGGATGAGCTATGCTTGTCATTTGAAGTAACAAATTCTTTGGTGCCCAGACGTGAAGTCTGGGCACCCCTATCATAATCAGGTGAAGGAGTAGAATATGACAAGGAGGAAGCTGATTTTTTCTCTTCTGTTTCAGTCTCAGTGCTTTCATTATCTTGATAATTGTCTTGTGGTTTTGTCAAGTGCTGACTATGTGATGAACGGCTTTGAGGATTTTGTGCGCCTGTTGACAAGGTAGATTGAGACACGGTTGAAGAAAGATCAGGTTTTAACCGACTGTTTAAAATCCTGCTAGATCCTATTTGTTCTGGAGTAGTTTCGGGCTGGGCAGAGCCTCTAGACTCTGTGTAACTAGGCCTAGATTGGCTTCCCACTGGTCTTCGGCCATTAATGAAACCAGAACCCATTTGACGATTAGCTGGAACAGCTACACGTCCTCCCTTTGGAAACAACACAGAAGAATTTAAAGGTTTTTTAGAAAAAAAATTTTTGGAAGAAGGGAATGACGGTACTTTTTCTTTATCATGGTCATCTGGTTCCCTTCTGTTGGGATAAGAGCTATCAGTGTGGATCTTTCTTGTAAAATCAGATTCCTGAGCATTGGACTTAGTGGAGGGGGGGTCCTCTTTCTCTTTAGAAATTTTCGAGGGGGAGATTGCTTTGGGCAAGGTAGCTGGCCTTCTCATTTTGTTTGTACCTGTATTTGTGGGAGAGATGGGCCTCTGTGGTCGTGTTTTGGACACTGATCCAGGGGAAATTTTATCTGATTTAAAAGAACTTTCTGATGAGGAATCATCACTGGTTGTTGCTGCATTGTTTTGTTTTGTGTGCTGAACACGTTTCTCTTCAAAATGTTCATCCACCTCTTCCTCTAAATTCTCATCTGAATCTGAATGAGGTCCTTGTCCAATTAAATCCTTAGTTTCATTGTCTTTGTTTTGAGAAGAATGGGATGTTCCAGGTTTGGGAGAAGAAGCTTTCACAGGCGTATATGAATCAGGTTCCTCAGGTTCTTCTGTGAATCGAGAACCAGTTTCTGGCAGCTTAGATGTAGAATGGGACCAAGGTACTTTTGAAGATGAAGCAGGATTTGAAGATGTCCTGAACGTACTCTTCTTACGACCATCTGGGACTTTGGAGTGTTGAGATGATGATGAACCAATAGTGCTAGCTGGCAAAAAATGAGATTTTGTTTAGTATTCAGCATATTAAAATGAGAAAATGACAAATTAATTAAGGCTACAAGCACACTAAAAGTTGGAAAGGATTTTATAACACATTTATTATACATACTACATTGTATTTTAATCTCTTTAAAATACAAATAAATTATATAATACATACTGTGCGGTGCTGGTTTGAATATTTAATTGATGTTGGTGTGTTGCAGTAAATATTAGTATAATAACATTTCTTGGATATTCAGAAAACTGAATCAATATTACATGTCAGAAGCAGTCTAAATTATTTTAATCATTAAGTCCTCAGTTTCACACAAGATGAATCACAAAACAAAAATCACAAGAGGTTACAAATGTGATACATTAAACAAGGTATAATGTTAAGCAATGTCACATTCCAGTCAGACAGGCATCACATTGCAGCCAGCAAGTGAAGTAAGGAAGGTCTATGAAGCAAAGAGAAATCTGGACGCCATACAAAGCAACAAATAAGAAGGATTCTTACTTGTTGGCATAGCGACACTGAAGGCTTTGCTCTGAGGACCTTGTCCTCTCCTGTTTGCTGCGCGAATTTTGAAAATGTAGCGGTCACCAGGCTGCAGACCATCGATTATGGCAGAGGAGGTGGTTCCAGGATAGGTAATGGACTTTGTTCCAAAGGGTTTGAGAGCGGGGGCGTATGAAAGAATGTATTCTGAAATGATTGGGCAGACAGTTGGAAGATGGAGACTATAAGGGCAGGATGAATTACAACTTGCATTACTAACGTTAAAATTAGCAATGCATGTCAACAGATGAATTCTAGTTCATGCTGTATATTGTAAAAACCCAACATTGGAAATGGTATTTTAAAATAATTAGTGTGCTATTTAAAAGACACGTAGAACCTTTAACACAAAAATATTTCTGTCCAAATATTTTTTCCAAGTTACAACACGATATACATCATGCCACACAAGTCTTTATATTATATGTACTATATCAGGATATTAGTAAAAAAGTCCCATTCCCCTTTAAATTAATTTTAAATGCATTGGCTCATTATATTAGATTGCATGATCAAGCATAACCCCATTTTGTTAAGTTGCCAGGAAAAAAAAATACTGTAGTAGTTTTTTTTTATTATTATTGTAAACAGCATCTGTCAAATCCGAAGGATTTAATCATTTCTGAACTTTTATCCCTGACTTTTCATGTATTGTACAAACTGTAACTAATAAAATCCAACTGTTTTTCAAAAAACATTTTTTTATCTCAATTTGCTACAAGTTTTTGGCCATCGGCCTGTTGAAGTAGCACTAATACCAATAAAAGCAAAAGTCCAGGAAAGCATTACTGAACATATTTTCCACTGGTGTAAGCATTTTACATAGATAAAAATCTTTCTGTTTTACTATTTCATATGCAATTATAAATATGATTCCATTCTAGGTGTGTATGACATATAGTCAGAGGCATTAAAATGAAACAGATTTGATCATTTGCAAAGTGATCTGGTGCAGTGGAGCATGTCTGTAAGAGCTTGCCCTGGGATGCTTTCCTGTCAGCAATGTCTTGAACTCCAGGGAAGGATATGCATATTGACATATGACTAATTCCCTTATGTGGTTACTTTCCCCACGACACACTGCACAAGTATGAAGGAAAGGCTAGAAAGGAACATAGTAAATTTTACATAAATGTTGTCTTTCCTGTGAAAACACTAAAAATGTTACATACAGATGTATGATGAATATATCAAATACAAATGCAAGAAGTATACAGTATACAAGCAAAACACATATAATCAGACTTCATGCAGTATTGTTTAACATTAAAGTGAATGTGTACCGATACTTATAAATTGTAAATTGTAAATTAAAATCACGAGGCTGTATACACTGTAGGTTTTTTCTAATATGATATGATGTATAAAGCAAAGATTACACAAGATTAATTCATTATATCCACATCATTGCTCCTGATCATTCAGGATTTTGTCTGGCAAAGAGGAAGATTGAAAGGCACCAATGTAAAGTAGTGTCACCTACAAGACAAGTTGTTGTACATTTGTGCTTCATTGTATCGATACTTTTTGGAGAAAAGCTATTTATAAAGTAAGTCAGATATTATGCCTACCTCTTATTCTTCCATTTGTTTCCTGGGGTGGATCCCAAGATGCAGTTGCAGCAGTACCTTTTCCCTTCAAGGGCTCAACATAAAAGTTTTCAGGTGCACTTGTGGGGGCTGTAAATATATATAAAAAGCATAACTAAATGTTTCATGTGTTAGAATCCCACACTCAACATAGGCATTGTGCACAAACTTCAACGTGGTGATCCCCTTTGAAGTGGTATGGCTTGCACACTGTTGCAAACTGACATGCGGCCGAGCTTTGACACCTTAATTTCCATTCTCAAATGCTATGTTCCCAAAGCACATCATTCACCCCTTAAATGCAGAAAGAATCACTTCCCTAGAAGTCTCTAGAGGGCCGAAGTTTGCACTCCATTCCAGACAACACTCTAGGACCTCTCCACCCCAGGACTCCTCTTTCTCATTCTGAATTCAGTGTGATTTTAACTTCCTTGAGATGTTGATTTAGGAATCTCTAGTTAGTGCTGTTAACCTTTTTGGCTGAAGTCCTGCCAGAAAGAAAGAAAAACATTTCCACCTGGAAACCCTGGTTCTGCTCATGATGAACCAGAGTTTCTGGAAACTTGGAGTATGTGCCAGCAAGTGTCAGTGTTGTCCTGTTTGTTCTTAAAAGACGGGGTGGGGAACTAATAACAAAAAATGGTACTTTATATTGACCCAATTCCAAGGATTTTGTGAGTCTGACTGGATTATTAGCGAACTCTCAAAGAGTTAGGACATCAGGAGTGCTTTGGTGCTTTCTCTCTAAGAACTCTCAAGACTTGAGCATCTCACAAAGCTGCCCCGACTGATTCCATATATGTCTGTCCTTCTGTTCATACTGTTCGCACTAGGAACTCCAGCCTATCACAAGAGAGGTAGTTTCAACCTCATTGATCACTCCTCCTTTTCTGAATGATGAGTATGATATTTGAAAATATCAGGTTCACAAATTTGCTTTAACATATGTAACAGCAGATTGTAGAGTGCAGTCACTCAACTGAGTCTTAAAATCATCAGTAAAACTAAAGCATTTAAATTGAAACCTCTAGTGGTTATTAAACAGTATACTGTAATATATTATTATGGCTGCACAGGTGTCAAAATAACATGAAAGAGAAATGTAATGTTTACTCAGCTGTAGTTCAGCTTCCAGCATGTGCCAACATTTATGTGCCTCAAATTATACCAACTGCTCAGCTATATTTGTGACATTGAGGTTTTAATGATTAATTTCAATTATTCCATTTCCCTCCTTATTCTTTATTTTCCCACCACCCCCTTATTTGTAACTTATCCCTGTATACAGTACATACATTACAGAAAAGATGGTATTTCTTGCCACTACAAAATATAAAACTGTGCCTCCCCTGTCTCCTACAGTTGGTTTTCTCCTACCAGTTCATAGAATCCACAATGTCCTCTATCTAGGTTTCTGTAATGAACTGGCTCTTGCTTGACACATCTGACCAGAATATACCTTCAGTCCTACGTACAGACCATCTCTGCATCTTGGTAGATAACAAGAAAGTGTGTTTTGCCATGAGACTTTGCCTTCTAAATCAAAGAAGTCATGGTGGGATCTCATTGTTTTCCTGGAGATACTGTCATCCTCCATTTGAGATTCTTCTGGTTAAAAGGTTGCACTTCCTCATGACCCATTTTTTTACCCATTTTTTGGCAGACACGTCAGATTACAGGGAGGGCTCCAGGCTCAATGCCCCTCTACCCCCAACTTGATAGCCCCTAAGCACTCTTTAGCCACACTCTGGTCTAACCAAACCCTGATGTCACTCAGCTAATGGAGGATGGAGGCCTTCCAGCCCCCCTACTTGTGCTAGGCTTTTTCCACCTACTATATACCCTACAATAGCACTGATTCTCATAAATATTGGACTACACTGTATAGGATGTCCGGCCAAATCTTTGTACCAGGGGCCAAAACCCAGGTGCAGCACTCACATACACACTGACTGACTAAGTGGCTCATCCAAGACAATCCACTTGGCCTGCAAGAGCTCCTGGCTTCTTCCTTCCACTGGCCTGAGAACACAACCACCTATAGTGCTCTCTAAATCAGAGACAGTAAGTTATGGCTTCCATTAAGGATCTTTGACTGGTAAACTTTGAAACTCCACATTAGTTGGTTTGTATAGGCCATGCATGAGGAATGCAATGCGGCCCTCTGTGTGAATTAGGACCAACATTCTTCTTCCCAATCCCTTCTTGACTTTGACTTTGACTTCTGCCTACTGTGTCTTGCAGTGGTGCCGATTCTAAAACAGGGTGATGAGCTTGTTATGATCTTTACATTCTGGAGTTTTCAGCTGTTGCCCTATTAGCACAACTGTGTTCAATTTATGCTGCCTGATTGCCAGAGGGGTCTGTAGTAATGTTGTGTACAGTATATAACATGCTTGCAATGGCACAGCAGTGATTGATTTAATAAACAGCCATTTTTTAGATGCCTCGCATCTTTTCAGGTATGCAACAGAGCTGTCTTGAAGGAGAAGGGCAGAGCCAAGTGACAGGTTCACTGAACTTTCTATAGTCATTGACAAATGAAATATGGAATCCTATGCTTAACATTTTTTAAGTTTGAAATACAACAAAAAACTATCACATTACATTCATTTAGAAATTAATCTTAATTATGATGGTAGTTTATAAACCTACCAGATTCAGGAGTCCTTTGAAAAACTGAAACACTCCATTTGCCATTCCTCTCTCGCTTTGAAATTCTAACAGAAAACTCGTACATTGTGTCTGCTATCAGATTCTCTATCAGGGCTCGTCTCTGCGTGCTCTCTTTGTAATCCCACCTGGCTGATTCTCCCTTCTCTCTGTACCGAACTGTGTAGTGTCTTCAAAGACAAGAGCAAACAGAAAAAACACTATGAGATTTAAGTGAGAGAAAAATCAAACCAGCTTATTAAATTGTGGCTAGTTTATTAAAAAGACTTTGGCCCACTTAAACTGACCGTATTTCAGTCAGTTAGAGAACATACAGTACAGCCTCATTAATTTTTATTTCATACTGTATACAGTGGGTATAGAAAGTCACCACCCCACTTCAAAATGTTTATTTACAAATTGTACCTTGCAACATCCAAGTGAAAAAAGAAAGCAGAATTTCTGAAAAAAATATTTAAAAAAAAGTAGAATAACTGGGTTGGATAAGAGAACACCCCCCTGAGTTAATGCTTGGTGGAAGCATAGAGGAAAAAGGATTGGAAATCAGCATTAATTTCATCCCACACCATCCCAATTCCTACCAAGCAAAATCTCATCAGTGGACACCAATCAGCAATGCTAAGAACAGATTTCCCAAAAGAGGATGTTATTTCATTTTTATAGCCCCTTAGCTCCAAACAACCATTTGTCTACACATGTTCTTTGTTTAAACAATTATTGCTTTTTAATGGATACTATTATATATAACTCACAAATAACAGAACCTCTTAACTGAACACAGTGAGTTCAGCTTCAAGAGTGCTTTTTGTCAAACTTTTACAGTACATTTTGTAAAGAAGTACTTTCTGATGTCAGTCCTAAATGGAGTTTGTATGATCATGTCATGTTGGTGTAGATTTTCTCCTGATACTCTTGTTTCCTGCCACAGTCCAAACATGTGCTTGTAGATTAATTGGCATGAGTGTGTGTGTTTGTGTCTGTGTGTGCCCTGCAATGGACTGGTGTCCTATCTAGGGTGTAAAATGCCTTGTGCTCAATGTCTCTTGGGATAGGCTTTAGATTACTCTCACCCTGAATTAGATAAACAGATACAGAAAGTGATGTGAATTTTTTTTATGCTGAAAACTAAGCACAATATTCGTAAGGGACAGATGCAATTTATAGTTCTTAAATGTCTATATTGGTTTTTATTCTGATGTTTTGTTCAAAGAATTTCATTATTCTATAAATTTTACATAATCAATTTACATCTACAGAAAAAAAAGCTTTGTCCTTATTGTGGAGAAGCTTGCTAAAATCTAAGTGAAATTCAGACTTTTGTCAATTGCATTTAAAACTTAATATTTTGTAAAACTGTGATATATAAATGTAAAACTTGGATATTAATGCACCCAAACTTAAAGATTTGCTTTAAAACATTCAAAAATTCATAGATGAGTTTCAGAATAAAAAAACTGTAAAAGTAAAAGTAGCAATCTTAGCCCTACCTTGATGAAGCACTTACAACGTCCTTTTGTTTTTCAAAGGCAGGATCAATCCAGGTTACAAGAACTGACTGAGGGGATATGATCCGAACAGTGATGTCCTTTGCTTCAGGCAATTCCTCAGAATCTATTGACCAAAAAAGAGTTTCTTAAAAAATAGAATTTTCTCATTCATGCATTAAAGTAATGAAATAGAGGATCTGACCATATACCTAAAAATATGAAGAAAACAAATTGAGCTCAATTACAGTATGTTTCTATTTGTCAAGTCTACATATTTTATTCTGGCAGATACTGTACTGTAAGTGTAAAAAGGTACAACACATGATTCAAGGTTTATGTTAGTAATTTTGACTAATGGTAACTTTCAAAAATATTCTATAAATGATCAAATTGCTGCATGTTATTTTTGCCATTAGAGGTCCTCTAACATGAAGAATACAGTACATAGCTACATTAGGCTCATCAAGAGATGCCCTTTACAAGATGCATTTCAATAGAGTGGGATTAGAGCACTGGTTTAGTATATAATATAATAACTGATTTCATTATGGTGATATCAGAACTGAACATCATGGGAGGCACAGGACCAATCAATTTCCTTATATTTAAGTGTTAGATCTATTAGAAACCAATTATACAAAAACAAAACAGATTATATCAATGTATTAGTTAATATGAGGTTATTGGAATCAGAAACAAGGATAACAGTGGAGATACTGTAAATGTAACATTAGTGGATACATACTGTTCCTTAGAGACTGAAAAATAGAAAAGGAGAGGTGTAACACTATATATATAAATCGTATCAGGAAATGAATACAGAGGGATCGGGAGTCTCTAAAGTATCCTATAGACTGAATGCAGTTGCTGATTACAGTACAATTAAGTATTTGTGGGCAAAATAAGTAGTTTTATGGGAAACTTCCACTTTCCTCACACAACCTGGGAAAACCTACATAACTGTCAACAGCAGAAATTGAAATAATAGATACTTAATCACTGCTGACGTATTCTGTTGTCAGAGCACCTACAAGTGGATATGCATGTATTGATCTTGTCAATCAAATGATAAAGACAGTGTGAGGCAAACAAAGGTAATATTCTGTTAAGATGTGTGGTAACTGTGGTAATAACATTGTACGCCTTCAATTCTATACAGTATGTGTATTTTAAAACTGTAAAAGTTGAATCCAAGGTAAAAGTTTACAATTTCTGGACAGTGGACTTCAAACAAATGAGACATAAAATGTTATAAGATAGACATAAAAATGGTGTGAAAAGATTCAAATAGGTAAAAATAAAAATAAATAAATAAAAATGTAATAATGATATACAGTAAATAGATTGTGCTAGAGGTATAGAACAATTTGATTCTAAAAGTGGGTACATCAAAGCAGCATCACAATAAGTTCACCAAATTAATTAGGGAGATTATAAGGGAAAATAAAGCACTTTATAAAATGATTAAAAGCTACAATATCTAGAAAAAGAAATAAATACACTGTAAATACAGAGATAAAAGGTATACTAGAAAAGCCAAGAGAGAAATTGATATATTATTATTTGATATTGCAAAGGAGGTATAAATAACAAAATGTTGTTTCAGTACTAAAACAGCAAAAGAATAATAAATAATGAAGTATAATATATCTGGGACAATAATGGGCAATTCTCGGGAGTGAAAGGGAAATGGCTGATTTGAAGCAAAAGGTCAAAATACTGTATTAAATAGGAATTAGCATAGAACAGACAGAAGTGTTTTGGATACTACATGCTCTAAAGATGAATAAATCTGCAGGGCCTGATGGTCTTACCATTTGTATTCAAGGAACAACAGAAATGGGCATGGAAGGCATATGAAATGGTGTATTTAAATTTACATACCTGAAGCTTTTTTTTTGGTCATGACCGGCCTATATACAGGTGAGCTCTGCCCGAGTGCATTCTGTGCCTGCAGTGATACCACATACACCGACTCAGAAGCTACAAACAAAGAGGAATACTAAATATATCCACAACTTTTACATTTTTATATAGCTGCATTAAGTAAACTGCAGAAGTTCAACAACAAGAAAAAATTATGCAAGAAAAAATATGTTAAATTTCCAGCAAAATAAACCATACAGACATGTTTTATGTGAACTTGTATTATAAGTCAATATACTGTATGAATCTGAATGTCTCTGTATAACAGAAATACAAAAGTGATGAAGCTTAATACATATCATGCAAAATTATACTCTCTCGGTCAGCATATATTGCTTTCAGATGTGAGTCTTTGTGCTGTTTGATAGGGTTCAGGTGGAAAAATTGGAACATTTTCTGTATGTAATGCTCAGCAGTGTAATATGAATTAAAATATTTTATATAAATCCACTAGAAAGTCCACATTGCACACAGTTAATACATTTAATATCACATTTAAGAAAACAGTGATCATTTCCAGCCACCAAAGTCCAAAAACTACTTTGATGTATTGGAAAATGTTCAAAACAGTGATGCAACAGCTGATGGAAGCTTTAAAGAACACCTCATATAAACTAAACCCCTCAGTTTTTTTCTGTTGCACAATTTTTCAATTTTTATACTTGCAAAGTGACTACTGAAATTAAAAAATAAGATGCTAATGCAGATCACAACAATGCCTATTAACTACAGTATGTCAATTACAATAATGTAATTTGAACAATGTTACTTTAAAAACAAGTGTGGAAACATATATTTTATGAATCTGTGTCTTTTATTAATCATTTTCCAGAGCACCCCATACTAGACACCAACATTCATACCTATTAAATATTGATCCTCAATAAAAAAACACATCTTATACAGTACAGGTTGTTTAATCAAAATAAATGCATAAAAGTACTAATGACCCTAAATGTATTATTCCAAAGTTTAAAAATGGGGATGTTTTTTATTCCAAACTTTAAAAATGGGGATATTCTTTATAGTATAATGGAAGAGGGTGTATTGTTCTATGTTAAGCTGCCAGTAAACCAAATTTATTTCTCATAATTGCATTATAGGTAAATACAGAAATTTAAAATTGAAGTTTATCATGTAAAATGTCTCTTACCAAGCCTTCTAGTTTCATGAGTTGTTTGATCGTCCTGTAAGGATGTATAATGCATTCTTTTATTGTCCTCTCCAACACCCAGAACATATGATCTCACTCTCCCTGGGTTATCTGGGCCTGACGAATGAGGAGGCTTCCACTGCACAGACACACTGTCTTCAGATGTGTGTCCCTTCACTTGTAATGGCCTTCCAGGAACCTTGGTTTCTGAAAAGAAACCAAAAAGGAATAGTCTAAGATGTTTGACCTACTTGCAAAGGAGAATCTGATAATTACGAATAATCTTTTAATACTATTATCTAAATTTGTACTGAATAAAGTGAAAGAGATTTTACTGTATGTATCTCCATGCTGTATGATTTTTTTCCTTACTCTGTGGACACATACTGTATACAGTTTTAAATCACTGTTGAACAAATATTTTTTTCTTCCAACTATAGGATAGTAATTATTAACGTTTTTTGGCTGGCTTTTAGTATTTGCTTCAGCTCATTGGAAATCTTATTGTGATAAATGTCTTGAGAAATAGTAGCACTGCCAAAGAGGTTAAGCAGCTTTATGTCATAATGTACATTTTTGGTGCTACAAATATACATAGCTTCAATTAAATAAGGGTTACTTAGTGTGAGTTTCTGTATCCAGTCTGTTGTGGAGTGTTATGAAGTCCTAATCACTAAAAGTTTGTTTAAGTACATAAGCCATGACCTCAAAGTATTAATTTATTATTCCTTCTTTGCATTTGGCATAATGTTTGTGTATGTGACTTGGACTTACATATCTTGCTATCAAACATTCAGACATTGTATACTTATCTTTTTGATAGTTTTAAACAGTTAAAGAATAACAGAATAACAAGAAAGTGTTTTTTTTTTTTGTTGGCTAGTTTTCAATATAACTGCTTTGTCTGTTCTTCCAGAATGAATAAGATTGAATGAACTCAAACCATCTTGCAGCTTCATACAGTACAAGATTTTTCTGTGAATAAATGTATTATTACAGTATCTGTTTGTTTGACTTGTAACCTAGTACTATATAACAGAAACCCAGTTAAACAAACAAACCATCAGCTGATTATCCATCATGTCATTTAAAAACAGTAGCAAAAATGATACTTTGTTGTTGTACCAAGAATAAAGAAAGGTTGCAGTTAAATACTTCTGGAATGTTGTCTACACAAATATTTCAATAAATATTTATACTTATACTTTAAAAAAGCAGTTTTAATTCTCAGTAAGGATCCTTTGATGGTGTTACTTTAGCCTCACAGTTTGAATGAACCCAAATTAATTTTGGTTCAGTGGGGTAGCATGGCGGATCCTAATGATGACTGTGAGGGTAAATGCAAATTCCATGTTATCCTATAAACTCTGTGATAAAAATCCAATTATATCCATCCAGTTGTGCAGACAATGAGAACAAATATAAATGGGCATCTTTAAAAAAAACTTACTGTAATTCTTAGAGATAACAGTGAAAATAGATGTTATAGAATGGAACACCTAAAGTCTTGAAAAAAGAAGAAATATTCAATGTGAAAGCTTTGGTGGCACTCTGACTATATGTATTATAAAACAACAACTGCTTTTGTATTATTTGGGAATTATTGAAAATATTGACACAGCTAAATGAAATAAGTGATTCAGGGAGATTTAAATAACAGTGTTGTACTCTGTTACCATGTAGTGCAGTGGCACTGCCTGTCCTATGAAAGTACCTTCCTATACTGCTTAAAACACACCTTATGCTACCTGTTTGTCTAGGTCTGCATGAAGAGTCAATGAGAAGCAGCCAGTAAAACAGTGACAGTCTCCTGTCTGGTTCTATTGCTTCTGTGTGATTATGATTGACATGAAGTAAATATATATTCTGTCTTGCATTGTATGGTAATTTGTATTAAAAAACACCTTTGATTTTGATGTTGAATATTAAAGGATATTAAAGGAGGTATATGAAGCATTAGATAACAAAAGTTAAGAAACAAAGAACTGTACAAGTCCCTTCAGGTTTTCTAAAACAAGTATTTGATGTCAATATCATGTCATGCATTTTCTTACAAGGAAAATATCCTGAGTATAGTTGATATATACTTTTTAAGGTTCTATTTACGTTCTCATGTCCTGGTTGTAGTATTTGCTGTAAAGTAATACTAAGGTTTCAACTACAGTATGTAACAGAACTACTCCAAACAGAGCAGATTAATGAAGAAACTTTCTGAGATGCTTATACAGAAATTAATAATTTGCCAGTTCCACCTGTTTTGAATTATTTCTCTTTAAGACCTTCTCTAAACCAATATATTTCTGCTGAATGTGGTGAAGCTCTTAAATTTATACCCTTAGGTTATTTGTGTGTAGTTTGCCCAGTGCTTTGAGTTAAAAACCAATTGTTGGCATTATCCTTGCTGGTTACTGTCAGGTGAATTTTGCCTCATCTTGTGCAGATTAGAACTTTAAACTCCAGTTTTCTTTTATTTAACATACTTGAACAATAATAAAACACAATTGTAAATGTTAACGGGGAACAATTATTAATGTATTTATAAATGTCCAGCAGCCATATTACCCTGCAACTAACAACTGGCAAACCACTGAAGCTAAGCAGGTGTGAGCCTGGCAAGTACTTGGATAGGAGACCTCCTGGGAAAAACTAAGGTTGGTTCTGGAAGAGGTGTTAGTGGGACCAGAACAGGGCACTCACCCTACAGTCTGTGTGAGTCCTAATGTCCAAAAATAATGATGGATACCTTATACTGTAAAAAAAGGCATCGTCTTCAGATCAAACATAAAACCAAGGTCCTGACCCTCTGTGGTTATTAAAAATCCCAGGGTTTTTCTCGAAAAGTGTAGGGATGTAACCCTGGTGTCCTGGCAAAATCCCCCCTGGCCTTTAGCAATCAAGGCCTCCTAATAATCCCCATCTATGAACTGGCTTTATCACTCTGTTCTCCTCCCCACTGATAGCTGATGAGTGGTGAGCATTCTAGTGCACTATGGCTGCTATCATCCAGGTGGGGCTGCACATTGGTGGTGGTGGATGGGAGTCTCCATTACCTGTAAAGCGCTTTGAGTGGAGTGTCCAGAAAAGCACTATATAATTGTAAGGAATTATTATTGTTATAAACCACATGTTTATGTGAATACATTTATACATAAAAAGTTATTTTATGATGTCGATTTGAATCAACACATCCCCATCACATTTTGGCAATGGATAATAAACAGATAAATATGAATTACAAATCATAAATGATATCCTAAAAAAAACAGAATAAAATAGGTATGTTTTTATTTGTTTGTTTTATACTGTGTTGTTTTATAGCGATTTCATCAAAACATCACAATGCATTATAATTATGTAATTAAGCCCATCTCTAGATCTTTAAGAATACATGTGCAGTATGTTCATGTACTGTACATTCTCAGAGTTTCCTATATAAACACCATTTAATGTAAAAAAAAATGGCTGCAATGAGTAATGGTAAGTTGTGGCAGTTTGTAAAATACTTTTGTTTAAAAAGTCTTTCACTGCATTCACTTTATCTTGAAAATACTAATACTACTTGTTTTGCTCAGAGCATTTACTTTTAATCTTATGATTCAGAATTGGATACTTAGATGACATCTGTAGCAGAATAAGAATCTAAAATTGCCCTACAACTTATTCATTGTCAACAAAGTATACTGTCAACCTTGTTCATTGTAATACAAATTTACAAAACCCAGGGTAATAACTTCAAAAAGAAGCAAGCTTTCTTGAACAAAATTATTACATTTAGAGGATAATTAGTGATTGTACCTGTAATAGATCCATTGAAAGCTACAGGGCTCATGACAGCAAAACCATCTACTTTTACCCATTCTCCACCTGTTGTTGAAAGAAGGTGGTCACAGAGGTGTTTCTGATGTCTTAAATGAAGGATGTATGTTTTATGGTTGAGATGGATTGATTACAGTTGATGGTAAAGTAAATGTAAATGAAATGTCCTGCAAAATGATACTGAAATATCCAGAAGATTTACAAAGAAAACTTCATATTATTTATACTGAACATTGGAACCCAAACTTCTCTGTAAGTCTTTCAAAGTCTACTACGTATACTCAACAGAAGAAAGAAAAAATAGAATTTTCCAAAGATTGGAAACAGCAAATGTAACTTTGGCAATGTCTGATATCCCAAATATATCCTTGCATAACTATATCAAAGATTTTTTATTAAAAACATTAAACATGGCATTCAGGAATACCTTGTAAACGTATACATTCTTATTCAATAAGAACTGTAATCAATGTTTGAAAAATTATTAAAAGAAATCTGTCCCATTTTGAGTCTGCAATGTAAATTGGCAGAGGTAGAATTAAGCTATGAAATATATTGGCCCGAGCTTTAAACTGTTGGAGGTTTGGGTCCAGAAAACACATTTTAAGCCTTCCTTTTAACAAGGTGTATGGCATAATGAAAGTTTTTTTTTCCTCTTTTTCTTTTCAAATGTTCAACAGTGCTATTGGATTTTAACAGTGGACTTTACTTTTAGTTGAATTTCATTTTTTAGAAAGTGCACTCTAAGGTACTGGCAGATACAAAATATTTTTAGTGAGAATCAGCTATTAATTATTTTAAAATGTTAAAGAAAAACAAAACTGTGCCAAACAATGCTATGCTTTAGACATTAAATATTTGAAAAAAGTTTGCCAAAGAAACTTGGAAAGGAGTATTGTGCTGTTTAAAAGTACATTAGGTCTATTTTGTTTATTATTATTATAGGTCTGTTATTATGAGGTACAGAAATTATCTTAGTTTAAACAAAGTGTGTTAATCTCAGTCGTTTTACTAATAGAAAATCTTCTGAAGAATGTTATGTCTATCCCATAATTAAATCTCTTGGCTTCCTTCTCAAAACTGTTTTTATAGCACAGACCACAAGGAAGAATAAATACTTTTAGTGACAAATTACTGGCTGCTAAAACATTACAACAGCTAAAAATGTCTGAAGTCCATATTAACCAATCAGAAGTGACTACTGTCACAACATAAGAAAGTGTCATTTCTTAAAATTGTGTGAATGCTGTTCTCTCAGCATCTAATGAAGAAGTAGCCATCTTTTGTCCTTCTGACCTAAAACAATGAAAATGAAATGAGGGATTGTCCTGGATGATAGAAGCTGCCTCCTAGATGTGGATAGAACTACAGAAATAGGAGGCCAGCAGATATGAAGTCTAGGAATAAAAATACTGTATATGTGGAAAATGCATATTTTATACTCTCTTTGCTTAGTTGTTTTTGTGGATAAAAAAAGAGATTTCAGAAATAAATTGTATTCAACTTTTAAATAAGCCACGTAAGCAAATCAATGTGTCTTTTTATATAGCATATTTTAATTCTTTCAATGAGAAAAAAATTAAAACGGCGATAAAATGCAATATTGTATGCCAGCAAATGACACAGAATTGCCACCACAATATTAATTTAATTTTGCTGTATGCCTCTGGAAATGACATGTGTTATAGAGTCATTTATATAGGCAAAGATCTGGATGTTGCAGAGAGTGAGATTCACATTTTAATCTCTAAAAATGACTGAAGTTTTGAAGATAAGACAATCATAGAAAATAACCAACAGCATAAATGTCTCCAAAATTCCTTGGCATTGACAAAGTCAATTGTTTAAGCCAATGCCTTCCTTCAAGAAATGGCTGCATGAGACCCTTGGTTCAAATAAGTAAAACTACCAAACAGGCAAGCCAAACAAATGACCTCCTATCATTAGTAACAGCTCTTATTATGAATTCCATGATAAAATGATAAATTTTGATTGAAATTGAATAAGAATTCATAGTTATTACTGATTCAATAAAAATAATTAAACACATCTACAGTATACAGTATTTGCCTGAAAAAAGGCTTGTTTTTAAATAGATCTTCAGATAGAGTTAATGTGGGAGAGTGGAAAGGTTGGGTGTTGGACACCAGGTGTTGAGGGCTACATGGATATGAATTGCCAGTGACAAAGGAAGAGACAGAACAAAGCACCAGCATCTTTGGCCATATTTGCACAGCCACCTACTGAAAGAGCACTCAAAGCTTCTCTCAAAACAGTCAAGAGCCTAAATAGCCCCAGACAGGACAGAAATGGGACCTCTGGAAAAGGGAAGTTTGTAGGACAGATCATGGCATTGGACCCAGGAGAGGACCCTGATGCTGGGGACTCCAGAGGAAGACCCCAGCATCCTCTTTCTCCCCCTCTACCTAAAACTGGACTGGGAGACAAACAAGGTGGAGGGGGGGATCAGAGACACATTCGTTCAGGACGCCGGGACAGAGGAGGATGCCTATGAAAATTATACAATGGCTGAAGGCAGCCAATAAATACTACTTACAGTATATACAACTTCAGTTGTTGAGAGGGGAGGTGACCTAAAAACAGCAGTATAGAATGAATTATTACTTAATTTATTCAGAATCAGTGGGTTGCTCTGATTACATTAAAGAGAGGAATTCAGTCAGAAGGAAAAGATCTATGATAGTTTGCCTTTCTATACAGCTTTTCTTGATTTACAGTTGTCTGCAACCCAGTCATTACTTTAATCTTTTTCAATGAGGATCTAAAATACGTTTGGGAGGGATGAGGGCAGTCAGACTAATTAAGGTCAGCTGCCGCAACCCACCACTAATCCTGACATAATCCTCCTCTTCCTTGTTCATTTTGCATCCCTCCTCCACTCTATATACACCTTTGCAACTAGCCCTTGATCATGTTTTCACCAGGCATGGGGGTCCTAGCCTCCCTGCTCCCTCTCCTAGGACCAGAGGGTCGGCCCTCAGCCAAGTGGGTTAATTTCCACAAACTCAATAAATGATTCTACTTTCATACAACGTTCTGCTGCCCTCATTCCTCATGAATTTCTACCAGCAAATTAATACTCTTCATACTTTCTTCATGAACCTCCATCACAACAACACTAAGATGAGAGAGAATAATGGCAGTGAGATGGATCAGCGAAGGAATAAATGGAGTTTAAACAAAAGTTCCCAGGGGGGTAAAACCCTAATCTGCCTACCTAAGTATAAATATCACCCTTATTGCTTTTAACTTGCTTTAGGGTTTTCAGATCCCTTCCTCTACGCATTGGTCTTCAGCCAGGATCCTTGGTTCATCCCTAATTGAAGGTGTGTGTGTGTGAGGAGGATGGGTTTCTGAAAGCCTATTATTATTCTCATTAGCTGGGTGAGTTACCTCAATCAAGCTCATTATTGTGATTCGTGCCTCTTAAGTACAGACCTAATTAGAGTTTGACCAATAGCAGTGGAATGTGTGTTAGAATGAGTGAATGAATATGTGGCAAGAGCAATAAAGCAAAAAATAAAATGTGGTGAATCCGGATAAATATTTCCAGTAAGTAGGTTAAGCTGTTTGACAGAAAAAGTGTCTGTCAAGCTCCAGCCCGCTGACCTTGGTCACTAGTTATGTCTGAGTCTTTCATTTTTGAATCTTGATCTTAATAATTAAAAAGTTTGAAAATATTGATCATTTAAAAACAAAATATGATTAATCATATTATTATTGGTTGTTTTTAAACAAAGAATAACTTTAATTTTAATTGTACAGTATGTGGTTACTTTGACAAAAAGTCTGCGCCAAAATTGTTCCTTGATTATTCCATCCATATTCTTCTTGCTTAGGTTCCTACCTGGAGGTGTTTCTGCTTTGTACACTGGCTGGCTCACTCCATCACTGTTCTCAGCAGTCATCTTCAAAAAGTGCAAAACACCAGGCTCTGAAACACACTCCTCATTTCAGAACATGATCACACATTCACAGCAGCAGAGCACCTAAACATGTTTCAGACAGTTTACTGGGAGTTTAGTTCCTTGTTATATACAGATGCATAATCAAAAATGTGTTTTTCAATTGATAGTCCTCAATCAATTTCTGAATATTAATTAATTTATATGAACAAATGGAAAAAGCAGGCAAAAGAATTGTAAAACTAAATCAGGAGCCAGCAGACGTTTATTCAACACTGAAAAGTAAAAGAAACAATATTTCTACTTGGAGCCTTTTTGCAGGTGAATTTCTGGGCCGTGGAGTTCCAGCATCTGGGTGGAGTACCCATTTTACACATGAGGGATCTATTTGTACCCAGACGACCTCCTTGTCCATACTCCTGAGAAGCAGGGCCCAGAGTACTCCTGCTGGTATTTATCATTCTCTCTCAAGAGACTCTCAGGATAGCGCCAACTTGCTTTCCTGCACTGCCTCGGAATTTGTTCCTCCCGGCTCCTGTATTCTGAAGTTAACTCTAGCTACTGCCTCTCTTTTGTAGATATATGCCTCTGTCTCTCAGCAGATATATGCATCTCTGGTGCATTTTCCTTTCCTTTTGCTTTGGCAGACAGGAGCGCACACCTGCTATTGGGATTGTCTTCCCAGCTTCTGTGTCTCTTCGTCCTGACCTTTTCCTGTCTTCTCTTGCCTTTCACTCGGTGGGATTCACGCTTCACTAGCATATTCTTTTCTTCTCATTCTGTCATTTTTAAAGCCCTGACGCGAGCAGCTCCACCTGGGGATGGGGGATGGTTTCATCCCCTTTTCCCTTAATCTATGTGTGAGTCAGAGGGAGGTAAGACAAGCAAGCTGTGCTTTTTCAGATGTCCACTCTCTCTGTCTGCTCCTGGGACTGCCAGAATAAAAAACACCTGAAGAAGGCTCCACAGCCAAAACATTGTGTTTTCTTGTATCTTTGACATGGTATTGTAACTGACATGGTTTTGCAAATTCCATTCATTATGATTTTAGAAATGGATCTATTCTCCAACCAAATACTGTTTTTGATGTAACTCTAGTCAGTTTAACTCTGGTGTGCCCTACAAAGCGCAAGAAACTCGACCACACAGTCACACAGGCCATGAAATCATGTGTGGTCAGGGTCAGACATCTGGTGGAGGCAATAGTAGCAGAACGAGAACAGTGATGAACTAAATGTGAAAACTTGATTTAATACAGAAGCATGAGACATTGGCATGAACAGAGCGACACGCACACCGCTTGTGCAAAAATGTTTAGAAAATTAATATAAAAATTGAATATATGAAAGTGGTGACATTTAAAATATTAGTGAAATAATATGCACTTTGCATATTATTAGCCTATCATTTGACCAATTTTCTCCTACAGCTCACATACCCACACATCTTTAATATTAATTTACCATTATCATTATTTATTATGTCTGTATATGACTTTCAAGTTTGGCACTAAACTGCATAATTCCAAAGCATTTACCAAAATGTAATCATAATAAAGCAATTAAATGGTGACAGTTTTGAGATGGGACTGGAATACATCCCTCCGTTTATAATATTAGTATAGGAAATGAATATATTACTAACATAATGTAAACTTAAACATGATTCTTTTAGAACACATCTCTTTTATTAATTAGGGGATACCTGTATACAAGTGAGAAGATTACACAAAATCTCATCTGTTTGCTCTTTTCAACCCAACCTGTGTTTAATATGTGACAAATGGGAGGAAAACAATGACTACTCTCTTGGGTCAAATAAATGGATGGAACAAAAGTATTGGGACAGTTGGCTGACAGGTGTCTCTTGTTAGTTAGGTATTTCTTTTGGGGTAATTTAATAATACAGTTGTGAACATCTGTAATTAAAATTAAATGTTTTGCTGACATCTGACTTCAGTGTTCGAATTTCATAGCTGAAAGACAAAATTAAAACCAAAGACTTTTATGTTCATGAAAAGCAGGCAATTCTGAAGCTAAAAGAAAAGAGAAATTCCATCAGAACCATATCTTTTAAATAGAGCATACCAAAATCAACAATTTGTAATAAAGTGAAGAAGATAGAAACCACAGGTATAATTATCAATCAGCCAAGATTGGGTCGGCCAAAAATAACATCTGTAGTTGATGACAGAAACATTATCAGAGCTGTCGGAAAATCTCTTAAACAACAGCCAGTGAAGTTGCCAAGAACCTCCAGAATGCCAGAATGAAGGTATCAAAATTCAGTGTGCAGAAGACTGCGATAGCAGAATCACACAGACTACACTGAAACATATAAACTTTTCAACAAGAATAGAAAAGCCAGTGTAGCTTTTGTCAGAAATACAAAGATGAGCCAGGAGAGTTTTGGAACAAAGTTTTATGGACAGAAGAAAGCAAGATACCTATAGCATGGTGAAGGCAATATCATTGCTTGCAAGCATGCATGGTTGCCTGTGGAAATTGATTTCTCATTTACTGATGCAGCAGCAGAATGATCTATGACATTTACAGGAACATTCTGTCTGCTGATGTAGAAGAAAATGCTTCCAAACTTCCAGACTGGGCAGGTCTTCATCACGCAGCATGACAATAATCCAAAACACCAAATGCAACCAAGGAATTCAACAGGAGAAAGAAATGGAAAATCGTAGACTGGCCAAGTCAATCTCCAGATTTAAATCTAACTGAATGTGCAGTTTACATGCAGAAAGAAAATTGAAGTTAGAACACCCAACAGAATAGGCAAGAACCAGGAGTGGCCATAGCAATTGACAAAGTATCAAATGTTTAGTGAGCTAAGTGGGTCACAGATTTCCTGCAATCTGAAATTTAATTTAAGCAAATGTGTCCCAATACTTATGGTCACTTGAAATAACTGGGTTGTTTGCAATTGTTTTTTGGTCTAATAGGAGCAAATTTGTGCATCCATCCATTTTCTATCTGCTTTATTAGTACAGGGTTGTGTGGGAGCTGAAGCCTATCCCAGCAGGCAACAGGCAGGGCAAGGCAGGATACACCCTGGATGGGACACCAGGCTATTGCAGGGCAGACAGAGACAATCAAAGACACACACAGGGCCAATTTTTGCCTGAAACCAATTACGTTTATGAACTGTGGGTAGAAACCAGAGCACCTAGAAGACACCATTGAAAACACTGCATACAGTACAAATTCCACACAGAAAGCACTCAGGAATTTTAACCCATGGCCCCAGTGCTGCAAGGCAGCAAGTGGAACAACTGGGCCACAATGCCCTCCTGAATGTATGCATGGAATTACCTAAAAATAAAACATATATTACATATTATGAGTTGTACATGTTGATGTCATGACCACAAATCCATTTTGCTTGACTGTAAAACAAAAATAATTTTTGACTTTCCCTTCCCAATACTTTTAGATGGTGTGGTACGTACTGAAGCACAATCCATCCCCAGTACTGTGGGCGGTTTTCACTCCTGATGACAAATGCTCCTTACAGTATATACTAGCAAGAATTACAAATCCAACATGTATGTATTCCCCGCTAACCAGTTGCAATGCACTGCTCATGCAACTTTCCTATTATCTACTATATATAGATATTATGAGGACAACTTCTTAACTTGCATTATTTGGTTTTCTCATATGCAAGTTTCTCATCTTCAAGACATTAATAAGTCTTGATTGTGTCAGTAAATAACATTATCTTTCTTACCTACATCCTCAAGTACTTGGGATTGAGTGTTTTTACCCACTTTAATATACCGCAGAGTCTTCATAGATTTCCCATAACCAATATTGTAGTGTTCCACAGGCCTTGACTGAGAATCTCTTGGAAGCTCCCATGTGACCCTTAGACCTTTTTCATCAGGCATCAGCTTCACATTTTTTGGCCTCAGCGGACGTTCAGCTACAAAACATAAGAACATAACAGCATAAGAAACGTTACTAATGAAAGGAGGCCATTTGGACAGTCTGGCCTATTAAGTAGCAAGAAAGAATTTAATGATGCAAAATATCTTGCGTCTGCTCATTTTCTCTTGTGTGAACACTGCTGGAGATAGGTAATGAACCATTTTATCAAAAGAGACTTATCCCATATTTTTTTCTCCACAGGGAACTTTAGCTGTCTTTGCAGTTTAAGATACTTATTGAATCGCGTACTAGCCTTTTTTCATTTCTCAATCATGCCCTTAGCACAACAACAAGTATACATGTGAGCTTCAAATGATTATTTATTAAATACCACCAGCATTTTACTTTATCCTGTTTGGTAGAAAATGTGCGGTGTATTCCTTAAGAGGAAAGGAAGAAGGAGGAATGTCAAAGTGTACAGTACCAACACTAGGTACCCAGAGGTTTCAAAGCTGAACAATGAAGAAATCCCAGTATAACGCTACCTGGAAAATTGAAAAGTCTACAAGGACAAACCAAGTTGTTTGCTTTCCCAAAGTGTTAAATTCTGCATGATGATTTTCAATTTTTACATGTTATGCCCTGAACACAGCTGACATAACATGAGCTTCCTGGTCCAGACGCTTGCTTAATAGAATTAAAGACTGTATTATCCAAACCCACCCACCACAATTGAGCAGAAACCAATGAAGCATTCCCTTCCTTTTCAAGGAAGTTCACATTCCCTTACAATAATAACTTTGTGTGTATTGGTAAAAAAAAAGGTTTGAGTAACCATTATTTTCATTTCCTTTGTTAATATTAGCAGTATTTACAGGTATACTAAATGTCCAGCAAAGTGGCACAAAGACATGATAGACAATCTTGATTAAGGTCCCCTGTTTAGTATAATATAGCAATATAGCAAATTGTATGATGGTATTTAATACCTTTTGGTTTTTAGACCAAATGAATTGGAAAGCTAAATGCATGAAACATTGAGAACTTTTAAAGCTTGATTTACCATATTATTATAAAGTATTTAATTATGAGAAAAGAGACGGGAACTTTATTATGTGCAGTGCACTATGTACTCAGTACACAACTGAGTTCTATTTATCAGATTTTGATTATGAATTAAAACTTTAAAATGAATGCAAAATATTTTTAAGGTATAGGGACCTGACCATAAAACATAATACAATATGTCACAATGTGTTTTTTTCTATAAGATTTAGTGTCTATCAAAAATATGAGTCATATTTATAATCTGTAACCTTTTAACACTTGAAGTCTACAAATAAAAAGAAATAACAACCTCAATTAAACAGCAGTCACCGTATTCTTTCTAAAATCAAAATCTACTGAATAATGGGAAAATCTTTCTTTTGTTTTGTCCTATTTCTACCTAAACATTACCAGTAAAATAAAATGTTTTTTTTTTCTGATGTTTCTTTAGAGCTGCAGGATAGCACAATGGTTAGCATTGCTGCCTTTCTGTGCTGGAGCCTTAGCTTTAATTCTGGACCTGGGGTGCTGTCTGTGTGGACTTTGTGTGTTCTCCCTGTGTTGGTGTGGGTTTCATTCAGGTGCTCTGGTTTCCTCCCACAATCCAAGCACATACTGGCCCTGGTGTGAGGGTGTGTGTGTCTGCCCTGCGATGGACTGGCTTACTGTCCAGTGTGTTTCCTGCCTCCAGCTCCCCTGCTACCCTGAATTTTAAGAAGTGGTTAGAAAATGGATGGACCAGATGCACATCCAATAATTAAATATGTAAGAATAATTAAAAACAGTTGCACTATTGAGATTGGTGATACTGTATTGAAGAAAAATCAAAATTGTACTAGAATACAAGGTCAAGGTTCGAGAAACTGTGCTTTCCTACCATTCCTCCTGATCTCAACCCAACTGAAATGTTGTTGGATGACTCTGACACAAAAGACCGAAAGAACCAACATATGCTTTCTATAATGTTTGCTCTAAGAGATGATTAAGACTGCATTAACAAAAACCAGTGACATACTTCAATTTTTGTTCAACAGAATGCCCGTAGCACATGCAACTCTGCTGTGATTGCTAAGAAGTGAAGAACCTTTAATCAGAAGGTTTACAATAGTATAACACCCATAAGAGCGTTCATTTTGGGTATTTGTTTTTTTATTTAAAATATTTGCTTGAAATATTCACCTTAGAAAATGTGTACACATAATTTGTAATTAACAATATTGGCACTTCATTGCAAAGGGTATTAAATACTTTTGCAAGGTGCATTGTATTATACCCTGTTTTTTTGTTTGTCAATGATAATATATTTTCCATAAATAATACTTCAAATCAGATTTTTCTTTGTTAAGCTGTATTTGAAGAGGTTGCACATGTTTAACCATTACTAATTGCTAATGTGAGCATTTGTGTTCTGTACCACTTATACGGGTAATAGAGGTGTTGTTGTACATTGCTTAGAATTGCTAGCTAAATTGGCAAAAGAAATTAAATTCTTTTCTAGTTCTAGTTTTCTAGTTCTGTGGAATGTATGCAGAATCTAGGGAATCAAGGCAGCATTTTGAACAATGCTGCTGCCTCGAAAGTCCAGAGTGTTGGGTTTGATTTCGGCCTTGGAGTAGTTTGTAAGCATTCCTAGTGTTTGTACTGTATATATATATATCAGCGTAATCCTATTCCATGTCCCAGACACGCGTAGAATAGTTTTCATCAGATATTTTAAGTTGTCCCTGTTGGAGTCACTGTATATTATGTCTGCTCCCCATCAGGAAGGGAGCTGGCTACTTCAAATCACTCTGCTCTGTGGCCCTGATGCAACCCAAAAATGAGGCTATGTACAGTACAGTATATATTAGATTTCAGTTTCCTTGTATTACTAAGAACTAGTATCATCAACATTGCTGTGTTCTTATTCATCTTTCAGCCTAGTATCCAGAAGACACCTTGGGGAAACAATAGCTGCACATGTAATCAGTGGCACTGAGCCTATTACACATACAAAAACAATTAAAACATACCCCTCAGACAAGAAATGTAACAATTTTACATCCAGAATAATCATACACAGCTACAAAATTCAAACCATGATGTCTTTTTAGTGGGGTAAATGTACCATGACTAAATTGACTAAATTTATAGGATAAAGCTTCTTTTATTTGCTTGAATACAAAGCATTCCCAGAGGGAAAACATACGGTACAGTATGTAGCAGCCAACATGAAAGTGTTGCAGAACTGTTCTAAAGAATGAAAGATCATATAAAGAGTTCTTCAGATGGAAGCATTGTTCTTTTCTTTAACTGGACCCTGTTGCCTTTAATTATTTTGTAAAATACTTTCTTTTCCCATTTATTTTTCATAAATTTGTTTGAATTTGTTGAATCATTTGGGATACTGTGTTTTGCCTTTGGTTTGACCACTTTTGAGATAAATGTTTTCTGTGGTTAAAGCAGAAACTGGTTAATCTGTTTCTATGTGCGAATAACCTGCTAGTAAATTACCCTGGATTAATTACATGGGTGTAAACTGAAGTTATATTTGTCATTTATAACTAAATTATTAATGAATATGTCTGTGCCAACAACTGTGTTCATGATCTATGAAGTATGATTCCCCTCCCTTTTTATAAGAAAACAGCTATAGCTAATTAAAATTTACTTATTCTTAAATACTTATTTAAGGTCGGTCAAAATCTTTTTTTATTTTCTAGACAAAAAGTTAATGAAATAATTGGAAACTTCAGTGATTCTTTAAAACAGAATTTTAAACATCATCACATATTGAACTTTAATATGTGATTTAACAAATCACACAGGACTTTGAAGCATTGTGCATATCTGCCTTAAAGACTGTAAGCACCAAGCTTTATTTTCACGTTTTATAGTAAGTATTTTTATGATAGGCCTCCTCACTACTGCTGGCCTCTTACAATAGCATTGTTGTAAATGGTATGTGTGATCTTTAAACTTTAAATAGTTGAGAAGGTGATGTTCTGTGACAGATAACATTTTGGTAATCACAGAGGTTTGCAGTACTCCTTTAAAAACTAAAACAAAACAGAAAGACCTAAAAGCCAAAAGAGACAAGCCTAGATTCCTGAGTGGCTTCACTATGTTGGTTGAGCCAATGCACTGCATTTATATTAAAATACAAAATCTTAGCATATTTAGTTATATAGCATTTAAATAATGGGATTAATATCACAAAGCTATGAAATGCAGACGTATAGCAAATATTTATAATTCAGTAAAAGTATTTGTATTTTACGGAATGAAGCTCCTAAAATGTTAAAGTGTACAGCTGTGATCTTCATATTACAGAACATCAATGTTTGAGTTTAATTTCCTTTTTGACTTTTAGAATGAAACTTCTCCTGACTTCCCACATGGAGTTATGAATTCCCTGATGAATAAAACTTGAGTTAACATCAGACGCCCATCATTAGAGCCAAGGACCATTGCGACTAAGATGATTTACTGCCATTAAACCAACACACAAGTAACTGTCTGGAAACAATAGTTACCTTTGTGTTGGTTTCATGACAATAAATCATATGATATTAAAAGGGATAAATTACCCTTTGCATTATGATATGTGATTAATAAAAAAGGTAAAATAATCAAATAAATCTTTGATGCCTAAAATCTGGTTGCTCTGTTTAAAATACATACTCTGAAAAGAAGATTAATGACTTCTCCGTGTGAACACTCTGATGATAGAATATTTTTAAATCAATTTAGATTATAAACAAAAAGCTGAAGCAGCAGGTCTTAAGTCAAAGATTGTCAATCAAAATCTGCCAAGACAGAATGAGACAATCTCTGTGTTTAAAAGTGACAACAATGGAAAAAAGAAGGAATATGAGCTGGTTTATTTCAGCACGGGTCTTGGTATAGTAGTTGCATACTCATAGGGAACTAAACCTAAAGAATTTCTAGTTCCATGTTTCTAACTAGGTCCTTCACAGGGCTTGTGCTCTATATTCGTATTTAACACATCAATTCACAAAATGAATT